TAATTTTAGGAAGACAAATTAGCTTTAGACACCCGTTGTACACCTAGTTGTGTTCAATAAATACTCTATCTATCTATTAAGTACTTACGTTAATTTTCCTGAGGCAAGTGGGCCATTAATTTGCATTTTCCAATACACAAAATTTAAAAGTCCCAGGAAATTAAAAAAGGATAGGATTTTGGCTTAATGGTAAAATAGGTTTTATATTTTTTATCTAGAATATCATTGCAGGGAACGTCTGCTAGTGAAGGATGCTTCAAGTCAAATTGTCTGAAGTGATCTCAACGTTGTAATTAAGATTGATTTCTTTTTATTGCGGAAAAGTAATTTTTCACTGTTTTGTAATATTCAGTTATTATTATAAATTTAACAGTAAAAGTTCCCATTCTGAAAATCAGGTATTTTTTTCTACACATTTAGAGCTACATTTTTTCTATATTGCAAAAAAATCTGAGGGGCGCTTCTTTGCGAAATTTGCGTTTAAAAGTGAAATTTGCAAGTTGGCATTTGACCAACGCAAAATTTGTCAATGGCAAAAATGTCGGGCGAAAAGATCTTAAAGAGAGCACACATTTATTTTTAATAGGAGCAGAGATTTGTATGTTAGTGTTTTTGGAAAAACTGATTTCCCGGAAAAGCACCCAATATTTTAAGCTGAAAATTTAGGAGGAGCCCCAACAACATACACAACATGGAAATGAAGCGATCGGGCTTTTCCTCGTTGCAGAAAAATTGTTTTTATTCAAAAACAAATGGCTCTACCAGTTTCGGTCACGGTCTGCGACCCTATTTCATGAGCAAACGCGCTGTTCGCTGACTAATACAAGAAGTTTCTTGTATTAGTCAGCGAGCAGCGCGTTTGCTCATGAAATAGGGTCGCAGACCGTGACCGAAACTGGTAGAGCCTGATGAAAAATTTAAGGATTGTTTTTGTTAAGAGAGGTCAAATTAATTTAGGGGTTTTGTTAATGCCGGTTAATGCATTATGTACGTTTTGTTCCTAGTTCTTTTTTTATGAATATTTTTTGTTAAGTGGGTTTTAAAATTAAAATCCCAATAGTGAAATTAATTTTAAAAATCAGTCTAATAATCTTTTTGTGGGAAATCAATTGTTGAAAATAACATGCAAATTGTAAATCTATTTTGGGATAAAGAAAATTCTTTTGACGTTAGAGAATTCAGGTACAAAGGTTGCCTGAATTCTCTCACGTCGGCCGATGGGTGGGAATATTCTAGTAGAAGGGCAATGGTTTTGTATGAGAAGTGGGTGGGCGGTTAATGATATAAAAGGGGCTCCCCCATCAGCCGCAGTACGACTTGCAGATCCGCCTGCTCTAACCGAATAGGTAGGCGACTCTCTTGCCACTGCTGCTGACGGAGGAACTCAAAAGTTAACTCTTTGTTCCCAGGATCGACCCCAAGCAGACCGTTCCGTCCCCGACGACCGGACGGCCTCCCTTGCCTCTACCCTGGTCAGTTGTGCCCCCGCCAGAGGATCCCGTGCTGCACCTGTCCCGTCCAACCTTGACGGTAAGAAATACGCCCTCTAGTTCCTTTGCGGTCAACTGATGGCCCCAATACTGTTCTAGGGCGGACCCTCTCTCCGGACAGCGACGTCGGACGGAAGCGGCGCCTAACCCGGACACTCCACCCGGCTGCCTACAAGTCACCCTTCGAACCCGTGCCTGCGATTAACCCAGGTAAACTAAGTCCGACTGTGTTGTTGCATTAAATACAACAACCATTTTATCAATGACCAGCCCATACTCACTATCCCCCTAATTTCCAGGCCCTTCAGATGGTGACCTGCCTTGCCGTGGCCCTCAGGAGAAGACCTAGTTCCGCCCGCTGCCATCCGTCCGGCCATCACGTCCTGCTGCGAGTCAACCACCTCCGCAGGTGCCCGGACCGTTGCTGCTGCCAGCTGACCAGCCACCTCTGAGGCAATCGTTCCTGCTGCCTGCCGCCGCCCTCAGCTACGACCCCGCTCAAGAGTGCCCCTTTCTGCAACCCCTTCCCGAAAAACCAAGGCTGTATTCCCAAAAGATTAAATCAAATCTCAATTAAGTAGAAGTGTACAATTTATAGGGAATATAAACTAAACCCACAGCAGTAACCTATTTGTTTAATTCCTTATATTTCCCGAAAATAATTAAGTTGTAAAATTGAAAGTTTCCTAAAAGGATCAGTACTTTATTTAACAAAATCCTCTTGCCTGCAATCTCAGTAATAGGAATAAATTTATTTTAAAATTTTCCTAACCAAGCCATTTGTTTTTGAATAAAAACAATTTTTCTGCAATGAGGAAAAGCCCGATCGCTTCATTTCCATGATCAAGATTCAAGATTCAAGATTTCTTTATTTTGTTAAGCATTATATACCACATAACATACATAGTAAATAACAGCTTTTTAAAATAAGTCAGTGTACATGGCATTATTTAAACGATAAAATTCGTTCAAGTCATAGAATTTGTGCTCTAACACAAAAGCTTTCACCATTTTTACAAGAACCTCGTCATTTTCGAGGACTTTTAAAGATATCGGTAATGCATTAAATATTCTGGGGATCATGATTTCTGGGTTTTCTACAGATTTCTTAAGCTTTACTTCTTTCACAACCAAATCATTACAGCAAAGATTAGTCTGATTATGTCTAGTCACTCTCCTCGTATCTACAGTATCACTATATTTCTGAAATAGGTTTCGGTTTTGCACTAAGAATTTTATACATTCAAGTATATACAACGATGGCACGGTCATTATATTATATTTGACAAATAATGGTTTACAAGTATCCAACGCTTCATTAGATCGCCAGTAGGGAATGCCCGCCATGGCTCTCAACGCTCTTTTCTGTGCTCTAAATACTTTGATTAAATGACTAGAACCCCCCCAAATTACAATCCCATACATTATATGACTCTGAACGTGTGAAAAATAGATCAATTTAAGAATGTTATCTGACACCTTGTATTTTAGTCTAGTGAACACATGAGAGACTCCTCTCATTTTGTTGACAACCTTATCACAGTGATCATTCCAGTTAAGTGTTTCATTAATTTGTACTCCCAAGAGTTTACCAGTTTTACAGATTTCTATACTCTTATCTTCAATTTTAACATCAGGTTGAACAAGATTTTATGTTTGGCTGGTATGTATTTGTAGTATTTTAGATTTTTCTGAATTTATCCTCAAAAAATTATCATTAGCAAAACCGACAAAACTGTCATTTACAGCCACTGTTTTAGTATTTACCTCAGGGAAAGACTCTCCCTTGACTATAGCCGTGGAGTCGTCGGCAAACAAAATCAGGAGGGCCAAGAACACAGCGAGAGGAATATCATTTAAATACATAGAAAACCCAATTGGGCCGAGAACTGTGCCTTGCGGCACACCCCTGTTACTCTCTAATATATCCGAGTTAATAAACTCCTCGTACCTATCACAACCAAGGTTCTTGAGCTGTACAAATTGTTTCCTATTTGATAAGAAGCAGGCCAACCACGAGAGCAAGTTCTCGTTTAGACCGTATTGTTTTAACTTATGTATAAGGAGAGGTGGATGAAGGGTGCCAAATGCGTTAGAGAAATCATACAAGATAACATTCACTTTTTCTTTTGCTTCAACTGATTCGTACAAAGATGTTACATAACTATATAAGGCCGTTACAGTATTTTTTCCCTTTCTAAATCCATGTTGCTCAGGTATTTGGATATTATTAGTGTTCAAGTGGTTTTCCAATCTATGTAAAAAGGCTTTCTCATATACTTCCGATATTGATGACGTTATCGCAATTGGTCTATAATTTGAAGGGTTTTCTTTTTCATCTCCTCGAGTGTCAACTTCTTCAAACAAACATACAACATATATGAATTTCAAAATGGTAACTTTTCATCAGACAACAATCACACCCAAATCATTCCTGGATCCACCCCATAATATTTTTTGATGCTTTTAGGCAAAGCTGGCCTGCTAAACATTTTGGATTTGGCAGTCGAGGAATGGAATCTGGAGGAGCTGAAAGAGGAGGAGGAAAATGATGATGCGCCCCCTCCAAAACGCTGAAGGCTTGGAGACGGAGATGAGATTGAGAAAATATCCCCCAGCAATGAGACAAGCCAGCGCCAGGGCTGCAGCTCTAAAAGTCTTCAGGCAGCCAGTTGCAGCAGGGAGTCGGCCAGCCCTGTGGATGAGACACCTTTGGACAGCTCGGAGTTGTCTACTATGTCGATTCTGTGGCATGACAAGGAATATTGAAAACTTAGAAAGGGCTTAGCTGAAACAATTTTGCAGGTTGATAAGCGCAGCGATGACATGATTGAGCTTTGTGATGAACTCCTGAACACCTTTGACAAAGGAAATGTTTGACAAAACCTTTGAAAAAAATTGTAATGAGCCCTCTGCAAGTATCTCAAAATTTTATGAATTCTTCATTCTTCCATCAGTTAACAGTATGTCTCTTTTAAAATGTATTTACAGCTTTTTCTGTAGTTTTTTTTTTGCTGTATTCATGACTCATGACGGTATCGAATGGAGAATAAATAAATAATTCACTTATCCGTAAGTTACTTGATTTTGATCAAAAAATAAATATGTGAATGTGTCAATTGAATTGTAAAATCTTCCAAATTTTCTGCATTCCTATGTTGGATTGTGCTGGTAATGTTTTAATTGATTATTTGGATGCATCACAGGATTAATTAAGACTTGGGGGGGGGGGGGTTGGAAATTAAGCTGCAGGATGCATTTGGTTTAAGTTCAAAACATATACCTTTTTGTTCATATTTTTTTTCTCAAGAATTTGCCTGGCTTGAATTCTGCAAACTGAAATAACTTATCTTCAATTAATTTTACATTTTGATCAAAGCACAATTTAAAGATTATTTTTGTAAACTCTTGCTTTACAGCAGCAAGAATTGGGCATTTCCTCTAGTGCAACTAGGGAGTTTCATGAAACCCATTATCAACAAGGTGCCATTAATTTATAATTAAATCTACTTTGCTTTTTCAGTTTTATTTGTTGCCAAGGGTTTCCTGAGTTTCCTCACAACTGGAAATAAAGATGCCATTAATTTTGTTAGTGCTTTTAAAAGCTATATTGGATATTGAAATTGTAGTGAGAGCAGCACAAATCAGTGCAGAAAGTTTTTTTTTACTAAAAATTTATGGCCATTTGCCGTACACGATTTTTCTTTTTTTTTCTAACTTTGTGTTGCAAGTCCATTATTCGGCTTCATTTTGCATCATTTCACTCCACTTGGCCTTGTTGACGCCCTGAGTCGCTCCCAACCGCGCAGGGTCTTGTGAAGGGTAGTGCACCTTGGGGGCAGCACTCAAGCCTGCAGCAGAACCTGCTGCACTTGACGGAGCTGCTTTCGGCAATGGAGCCTCAAATCCTGGAATTGGTGGTGGCGCTTGCATTCCTGTGGGCCGAACCTAAAGAAAGAACAATATTTACTTTAATTAAACAGTAAATAATATACAAAATCATGGAATAATCAGATTCATCATTATGAGAAATAATCTATCTATCTATCATTACGAGAAAAATTGAAATAGATTTAAATGTATTTGAAAGTTTCACAAACCTGGCTAGGGAAGAAAAATGAGCCAGGAGGTGCTGCAATGGGCGGCGGCATGAGCATTGGCGGAATGGCCGGGGCCATTCCATACGACTGACCGCTTGGCGTCAGATTGAAGAAGTTGCTGTGCAAGTCTCCGGAGGGCATCGGCAGGGCTCCTGGTAGACCTGGCACAGGCTCAAGTTCGCTGAAGTTGCCTTCGGGATCCTTTGAGCCCGGGGCTCCCTGACGGGCCTGCGAGCGACCCCACTTGATGGTCACTCGACGACCTTGGAGGATCAGCTTATTGAAGGTGCGCTCAGCCGCTACCTCGGCTGCTGACCGCGACGTGTATTGGATGAAGGCGCACTGCTGCCGAGGCACCAGGGTGATGTTGCGGATCTCACCATACTGGTAGAAATTGTCCCTAAAAATTTAAATTTTTATCAATCTATCTCAATCTTTTTACAAACAGGTACCTAAGTTCGGTTTCAGTCACTTTCTCGGACAAATTGCCAACATAAAGAGTGGTGATGCTCCTGTCATCAGGAGGCTCCAATTTAGGCATCGCCTCTGCCCTCTTCAGCAGTTTTTCAGCCACAGGGTCGTTAACACCATAATACCTGAAATATAATTAATCAAATTAGAATATTTAGCTTCATTTAATTGTAAATTATTAATTGAGGAGAGCAGTAAATTACCTGTCCTTGATGTTCTGGTCGGAAAGAGGATCGTCGGGGTCAGTGGGTTTCTCATGGCGGTACGGACATTCCTCCCCTCGCTTGCACTCTCCCTTGACCCAGAACGAGCAGATGTGCGGCCGGTTCCTCTTGTAATAAGGACTGGTGCGCGCCAACTTCATCAGCAGATCGCTGTGCGGCGCAGCTTTGCCAACCGCACCGGCCGCAAGGGCAACGTCGCCTCCCTTGGCCACCTCGGCGTCGATGTTCTGGATGTAAAACTCCTTGTTGACGTCCGACTTAGGCAGGTCATCCTTTATTCGCAATGCTTGGTCCCTGACCTGGATGGGCAGACCGTACTCGAGGTCGAGCAGACACGTCTGGCAGACGTTCTTCAGTCGACTGCAAGTCTGACAGATTTCTGTCTTCTTGAAGCGCATCCTCGCGCCTGGACACCACCTGAATACCGTGAACGGTCGGTTGCAGATTTTGCACTCCTTTCCGAAGCGTTCTTTTGTCTGGTGAAATTTATTAGAATAATTTCATTAAGTAGATAGAAATTTTCAATCTCACAAAAAAACCTACCATTCTGATGTAAGGATTGTCACCCAAACAAGTCTGACACAAAACTGGGAATTCCTGAATGAAACGAAAATCGTTAGATTAAAATTGAGTGTGAGGAAAATTGAGGGAAAAATAATGCTCTTTGAATACATGTATTTTATCATCATTCTCTCACCGAATCTTCCCAGTTCTGCCGGTTGTAAGTGTTGGTCGTCTTAGACATAGCCATTTTGAAGCTTGGTTTGAATGTAAGGGTTCCGAAAATATATGATTTTTTTCCCTTTGGATCTTTGGAAAATAAAAATGTGCTCCTCTCGGTGTTTTTGTTTTTGATTCCACCAGTTTTGTGTCATGGACGTCAGCGTCAGCGAGCAAGGGGCCCCTTTTCTCTTCTCTCTCCGCAAATGCACCACCAGAGCGCCAAGCGTCATCCTACGGAACTAGCATCACAAACAAAAACAAACTTATCAAACTGGTATCATATATTAATTATAATTTCTTTGTTTAACGTGGTCTGAAATTTTAAAAGAAATGAGCATGGCAGAATGGAAAACGTTTTGAAACATCTGCTTGAAGCTAAAATTAATTAATCAAAGATTAGTTCTCTCAATTTATAACAGTTAACAACTGTTTCTTGCCATTCCAATTTTCTTAAGAATCACATCTATTGTAAGTCTGCTTTTTATGGAGTTAATTACATACCATAAATATATTATTATAAACATACAGAAAAATTTCCAATAATTCCAATCATATATCACATTAAACGTAAAAACAAATATGAGCTTACGCAGCTTAAGCGTTTGAATGTACATAATGTATATGTATTGCGGTATTGAATACTTCGTAATCATAAATATTTAATGTATGTATGGCTAAAATCTTAATAGCGAAATAAATTTTATTAGATACACATATAAAGAGATTTTTGTAAAATTGTGGATCCACAAAATTTGAAAAAAAAAAAAAAACGTGAAAATATTTCACACAAAAATAAAAATACAAGTATGCAATACAGATAATTGTTATAAATTAAATTCTGAAGTATTAATTTCATGCCAAATGTGTTTTTCAGTTAACCAAGAAGTGCATTTCAGAAGACTATGGCTCTTTTACACAAAAGAGACGAGCAAATCCACGACCTAATAGTTCTGGAAAGGAATGAAGCCTTGAATAAACAGAGAGAAATTTTGCAAGCTTGGGAACCCCAGTCTCAATTGTACAAATTTCATCCCTCTAAAAATTTTATAAATTGTCTCACTGAATATTTTCAGATGGTCTGTCAATCATTCTCCTACCATTTTAGCATCGATAAGTGCCTTAACGGCCATGTACATAAACAACCACTACCGTAAAAAAATGAGATTGTTCAACTATGGGCGACTGTCCAGCTACCTCCCAACAGTAGTCATCCCATCAATGATAACTGCATTTGGGCATAGCATGGTATATAATTATTTTTTGAGATGCCATTGTACAATTCTTGTTGATGGAATTTTATTACTTAAGCTTGTTCAAAATGATGTCCTGCTGCGAGATACACGTTGCGTTTTGTGCATTCAGATGAGGTGTGCTGCACTTCAAGTAGCAACGTCTGTTTGCTACCCAATGGTTTTGGCTCCGCTTGCTGCATTAGGAGTAATTTATTCAAACATGTTAAAGGAATTCATAATTCATGCTGTTATTTTAGTTTGCTGCGAGATACCGGACATTCATTGTTCCCAACTTAATTTCCGCACAGGGACGAAAATTTGCAGCTGAAACGTGGATAAAGTTCACCAAACCAATTGCAAACAATCTACTAGCTATTGTAGCTGCGCAAGGACTGACCGCCTCTTTCCTCGCGTACCACCAAATCAAAACCGTAGCCATGGTTGACGTCAAGTTTGCTGAGATAGTTGGTGAAGAAGAGACTGTTTGATTTTCACTAATGAGTAAAAGTCAAGTTTAGCATAGTAAATAGCTTATTCTTTTTTTATTTCATGAATATTAATATACCATCAGCAGTGTTTTTGGTTAATACATCTATGAGAAATAAAAACATTTAGTATGCTACTGTGGCTCAGTGATTAGAATGCTTGCATTCTAATCAGTGGGTTTGCTCAGCCGTCATGGGATCAATGCTCAGCCTGAGGCTCTTTGTGGAAACAAATTGTCTCTGGTATGCGAATCATTGATAATATTTCGGCTGACACGTCGGGAATTTGGGAGGTATGGCGCTAGCTGTGCCGACTCGCATTCGGAGGTTTGCCATGTTTCCTCCGAGCCACAAGCTGGAAGAACTCAGCTTGTGTGGCGAATGCCTGCGTCCTTCGTGGCAAGGCCAGGGTCTGGGGGGTGGTAAGGGCTTCCTATGCAGAGTGTCTACTCTTCATAAAAAGCTCCCGCCAAGGAGTGAAGGGTAGGGGGAGTAACCAAACAACTTCTGCACCGTGGCATAGACCAACCCCAAAGTTGAAAAACTAAGTGGGTGCCATTAAAAAAAAGTATGCTATTGTACCAATTAAAAAATTATGATTTATGCCATCTAACACTACAAGCATGGGTGTTTATTATACATATACTTATGAAGTACTTGCGTCTTCACTGCGTTTTGAATTATGCAAATTATGTGTGGCTGATCAATAGGTCTTGATGAGAAATACATAAGACCCTCTATTTTTTGTATGCTAATTTTAATTTTTTTCCTAAACTTTGTATAAAAAAAAAATCAGATAAACTCTAGGTCAGGCATGATCTATTAACATTATAGAATTTAAATATTACAATCTCATCAATTGAGATGGCTACGAGTGAATTACAAATCACTTAAAAGCTTTTAAAGCTTATGCATTATCTTAATGTAAGATTATTTCGTAGCAGATGATTTTGAACAACAATTTCTTTGCCAAAAGTTCAAAGTCGATTTTGTTAAGACAGCAGCGCTCGCAACTAGATTTAAGCAGTTTCCCTGGAAAATTGCATTTTTACTATTATTTTTTTGCTCGTCAATTGAAAATATTGATTATAACCACAAAATGTGCAAGTGAGAGAAATTTAACTGCTCTTAAGTGGCACCGATTTTTGCACTTATTTATTCGAGGAAGATGCCTCTAGTTTGCCGAAGATACCACTTAACATCATTCAACACATTGCCCACTTAAACAGTCAATATATATTCAGTTTAGCATAATTACAATTTTTTTTTTTTTTTTACCTTGGAGGACAACACTTCTTTGAACAATGTATAATCACCAATTACTTAAACAAATTGGTTTAAAAATGAATGAGAAAAGAACATATCTTTAAAAATCGTCTATGGAATTGGGCTTAACAAAATTACAGGGTTTAATTTGTGCACACAAACGCCCATTTCATCATGTTGAAGTTTTCAAAACTGCCTAAATATCTGCATTTCATATATTTCCTCCCATTTAATTTAAGTACAACAGAAATAAAATTCTTCCAGCTTTCGGAACGAGACACATCACAGGTGCTGCCGTAACCAGATTTAGCACATGTAGTTGCTGGAGGCACCGTACATTCCGCTGCCGCCTCCACTGCCATGGTCGCCGTATTGAGGGCCACGCCACATAGTGACGTACTCCTCATATGAAACGGACACCTTCTCGCTCTGGTAGCGTGTCAGACGAACTGAACGACGGAACTCTGCAGTCACCTGGCCCTTGTAGCCACCCTTGCGCAACAACGAGTCAATCGTCTGAACCCTGTCCCAACCTGGAAACAAAGTTTTTAGCATTAAAAAAATTATATATAATTCTCCAGAAAACTTCAAATCCAAACATTTGGAAATTTGCATAAATTAAATATTTATTTTTTAATTCAGAAACCAAAAGGTACCACAACTTCAAAGACCTATATAGAAAATTCAGAAACTATTTTCTTTTTTTTTATAAGAAAAATGAAGAAATATTACAAAGCTGTTGTAGTAATAATATGAGAAAATTTAACAAAATTAACCTTGCTCAGGTGCCACTTCTGGTAGGTAGGTTGCAGTTCTCTTGCTGCCATGCTCATTGATGAATTCAATTCGTATGCCGTGGACTCCGATTTGCCAGTCCATACAGTCATTGGCATCCTCAAAGTGACGCAAAATCGACACCGAGACGTGCAGACGAGGAAGCTCATCTCGAGAAATCGGATTGAACCGCGAATCCTTCACAGCACTGAAATAAAATTATTTATGATCGACGGTCTAATTAAAAAAAGAAAAGCAGACGATTAAAATTGCAACATTGATATTTATGAAAAAGAGTCACGTGACAATTGATGGTAAAATTGAGTTACCTGGTGATGGAATACTCGCGAAGCCCCGAGTGCAGGTTCATGGCGTCGAAGGTTCCAATGCATCCTCGTAACCTGTAGTCGCGACCCGTTTTCCAGGTCACAAACAAAGGGCTGAAAGAACAGATTTTTCTTCAGATTGTTAATTTCAAAATTAGTTGAGGTTTCCTTACAAGGCATCGTTGGAGAATCCAGGCGCTCTGGGCTGCTCGAGACTGTGCAAGTGGCTGTAGAGGACGTCAAAGCAGAAGAAGCACATCTCGGGGTGAGCAACCATCCCTGACAAAATCCGTCCGCTGGTGGGGTCAGGCAGCTCGCGGTTGTGGCTCACCTTCTGCTTCTTCGAGCCGCAACAGACGGACGACATTTTTGCCGAAATTTGCCTACCAAAGATGTCGAACGAAGAGGAAGAACTGCAAATGCAAACTAACTTCGCAGAACGCAGACACTGAGTGATGATGAAAAAATAACAAAATTATCCTACCTACTTCTGGCTTATGGCTTACAATTAGCAGCAGGCAGCAGCTGTGGGACCAACTGTGGGACTGTGGTGTGGGTATTATGGAGAGTAAAAGGTAGAGGAGGCGCGGAGAGGAGGAGCCTCCTATTGTTAAACTGGTCCAGAGCCAATCAGCGCGCTGTCTCCTAGGAGGTAACCTCCCTTTGTTGCTCCCTTTCGCATCTCCTCTATCTTTTACTCTCCTTAGTGGGTTGGAAATTGACCAAATTGACATCGACAGGGCTGCCAACCTTCAAAATGTTAAGCACCAACACTTTCTAGCTGAAACCATCAGAAAGAAAAACACATCAAAACAAATCTGTGAAGCCAGCTCCTGTCAATTGAGTTTGAAGAACAGAACGAATACTCTGGTGATTAAAAAGAGAGCTTAATTTTGTGCACTATCATAAATTTAAGATATCTTAGTGATACAGACATACATTTTTTATCTTTGATGCGTTAATCAAAACGTAACATATCAAAACAAAATTTAGCACGGTTGTGCTGTTAATTTATATTTTTCTCTAACTTTATTTAGACTTGAAGAATGATTACAAGATTAGCAAGAGGAATTTCTTTTTCAAAACTGAAGTACGTCCACCAAAGACTGTTTCAATCTGGCGAAGATTTAATAGGAGCTCACAATCAGCTACAGCTTTCTAGACCGTTTCATCTCTCTGTTGGTAAAATAAAAATATTTTTTAAATTATTTATTATGTAACATGATATTTTTTCATGCGCTGTTTATTTTATATGTATTGAATTTATTTAATTTATATGTATTTAATTCATATAATTTATTTAATATTTATTTAATAGAATTATTCTGGTTATTTTTCCTAGTTTTGAAGCATGGTGGAGATTACGAATGGCAAGAACCGAAAAGTCCAGAAGAAATGTAAAATATTTTTTGTTCAACTCTGCCGTGTTGTTTTGAAACTTAAATTCATTTATTCCAGAGTAAATGTCACTTATATTGACAAGAATGGAAAAGAGTTCCCCATCAAAGGTAAAGTCGGCGACAACGTGATGTATTTGGCGCACAAACACGGAATTGAAATGGAAGGTAAAATAGTGTACCTGAAAATATTAAATAGTGCGCAAATATTAATTTATAAATTTTCAACTTATAGGTGCTTGTGAGGCTTCGCTTGCCTGCACAACTTGTCATGTTTACGTTGTCAGCAATCACAGAGATGTTTTACCAGAAGCAACAGAAAAGGAAGAGGATCTTCTCGATCTCGCCCCTTTTCTTCGTGAGGATTCTAGATTAGGTAAAAATACATTACTGAAAAATTCTGGTATTGCTTTCAATTTAATTTTTTGCCCAGGTTGCCAGATTATCCTGAATAAAAACTTGGAAGGTCTGAGGGTTCAACTACCGTCTGCAACCAGGAACTTTTACATAGACGGACATAAGCCAAAACCTCATTAAATGTTTTAGCCTGACAAATGAGATGCATTTCAGTAAAATATAAATAAAATGGAATTATAATTTGAATATTTTGAATTAATTGAATTTTTACAAACTTAAAAGTTAATTATTTTTATATATCTATTCTCATTTTAAACCACGTTTGTTTAAATGCATGACAACATATTAGTGTAAATGTATACCAATTAAATTTAAAATGTATTAAAATTCAAACTATTCAAACAATTTTGTTGTCTCAGAGCAGAGGAATGATGAGGGTTTTCAATAATTTTTATATTCTCTGATAATTGAATTATATATTTAATAATTTGTCCTTTTTATTTCTCTAATTGAAAATAAAAAAGAAATCAATTCTAATTTTTCTTTGTCAATATATATATATATATAATTATATATATGCCCCACATGTACGTGCCCAAAGGCTTTGGTTTGCTTGGTTCAAAGATTCTGTTCTCCATGCTAACGGCAAAGTTGCCCCCACTGCGCGACTGACACGCACGGGGTGGCAAGAAGACAGGCATGATAGCCTAATTTTCGCACAGTTCGATCCCAAATTTCTCGCCGCTGTTCGACAAAAGCTAATGATCGAGTCGGGTATAAGGTGACACCTGTTCTAGACTGTAATTTGCGCCTATCACCACCATGACCACCTACGGAGAACTCATCAAAACCGAGTTCCCAAAGTTGGACGACGAGCTCTTTGTCTATGTTGATGGTAAGTGTGTTTTACGGTATATTTTAACCCAAAAACGTCCACATTTCTTTTTGCCTCTTTTCTATTGGGAAAAAAGGTTGGGATGCGATCTTGGAAAAAAAAAATTTGAAAAAAAATCATCACAAAAAAACGGACGAATTTGATTAAAACAAGGCACCCCAAACGCATTTGAATTTTCTTCTGTCTATTATTTTGGACCGAGTTTTATTCCTTTTATCATTATTTTATCAACCACTCAGACGGCTAGGAGAGAACATTTATCGAAGGCCAACTAAATAGAATAATTCACTAATCTTAGCTACTTTTTCAGGAATTATTTCTGGAGGAGCGGACGAGTTTGAAGACAGCGATGAACTGTACGAAGCCATTGGCCATGTTCTAGAAGAGGTTGCTGATGAGAAAACTGAAAGTGAAGTTCGGTTGGTTTCGTAAAGCTTTTCTTATTGATAGCCCATTAATAAGCACAATTTTTAAATCTTGCAGTGATGTCTGTGACAGAATCTTGTTAATTTTGAGGCCGTCTTCAACTGAAGTAAAAAATGAAATGCGTATTCTGAACGCACCGGTGAACATTGCTAGCTTAGCTGCCAACATTGAAACGGTGGGCGAGATGAAAAGCATCTGGATGAATCAAAGGGATGATGGGCTCGTAAGAATTCATAAAATCTATAAATTAATATCAATCCTTATATGAAAAATTTCAGAAAGTGGATCAAAGAAAGCTGGAGAAGGCTGAGGCAAAGTTGCAGCAAAAGCAGGATAAAAGATCTGGGGAGCCTACCAAGACCGTGCTGGCCAAACCAGAAAGCGCTTCTGCCTCTCAGATGGTTAGCAAGAAGGACAACAAAATGGACATGAAGGGCACCAACAGGGGTCTGGACATCAGAATAGAAAACTTTGACATTGCCTACGGAGACAGGTGCTCATTTTAATTGAAGGAATTTTGGTTTACTCAAAAATTTGTTTTTGATTCAGAGTTCTTCTGCAAGGTGCTGATATGGTCATGGCATTTGGTAGACGCTATGGTTTGATTGGCAGAAACGGTCTCGGCAAAACCACACTTCTCAGAATGATTGCGATGTAAGTTGGAGAAATCAAAAACTCAAAATCTTCAAATTCAAATCTTGCAAATAGGGGCCAATTGAAAATCCCTTCGCACATATCTGTGTTACACGTGGAACAAGAAGTGGTTGGTGATGACACTCCAGCCCTTGAAAGTGTTCTCCAATGTGATCTTGTTCGTGAAAATCTCCTTCAACAGGAACGAGAAATTACTGCCAAAATTAATTCTGGGTAATGAATCTATTTTGATGTCTAACTTGTTATTTGATAGTTGAATTAAAATTTTGTCGATGTTTATTTTTGGGTACTGTCATTAAAAAATATATTTTGGATTTTTTCAGTCATGGTGATGAAGAACTTAATTCTAAGTTGTCCGAGGTTTACATCCAGCTGCAGAACATTGATGCTGACAAAGCGCCTGCCAGGGCAAGTGTGATCCTAGCTGGTCTAGGCTTCACTGCCGACAAGCAGAAAAGACCCACCAAAGAGTTTTCGGGCGGGTGGCGAATGCGTTTAGCTTTAGCAAGAGCTCTCTTCTCAAGGTAAAATTCATCAAATTGTTGTGTTTTACACTATTTGATGCTGTAATTATTTCCACAAACAGACCTGATTTGCTGCTACTTGATGAGCCGACAAACATGTTGGACATGAAAGCGATCATTTGGCTTGAGAACTATTTGCAAAACTGGCCGACAACTTTGCTGGTCGTTTCGCACGACAGGAATTTCCTGGACACTGTTCCGACAGACATTTTCCACTTGCACACCCAGCGAATAGACACTTACAAGTAGCACAATTTACTGATATTATAAAGCGGAACCTTTACAACTTTTTATTTTCTTAGGGGCAACTATGATAACTTCATAAAAATTAAAACGGAAAAATTGAAAAACCAGCAGAGGGAGTATGAAGCTCAAATGGCGCACAGATCACACATCCAGGAGTTCATTGACCGCTTCCGTTACAATGCCAACCGCGCCTCCAGCGTTCAAAGCAAGATTAAGATGCTCGAGAAATTGTAACTTAATGTTTGCCTTTCGCAATTGATCTTTAAAGCAATGCATTGTCACACAGACCTGAGCTGAAACCTGTGGAGAAGGAGACTGAAGTGGTGCTAAAATTCCCAGACACTGAAAAACTGTCCCCTCCGATTTTGCAACTCGACGAGATCTCTTTCTGGTACGAAAAGGGCAAACCTATTTTCGAAGGAGTCAACCTGGGAGCAACTATGGAATCTCGGATATGCATTGTAAAACTTCAACATTTTCTACATATTATGATTTCACAGTCCTATTTTTTAAGGTTGGTGACAATGGTGCTGGCAAGACCACTCTCTTGAAAATTGTCATGGGCTTCCTGACGCCCACAAAAGGAGCCAGAAATGTTCATCGTAATCTGAAATTCGGTTACTTCAGCCAACATCACGTTGACCAACTCGAAATGAAGGGTTGCTCTGTTGAACTTCTTGCATCAGAATTCCCAGGTTCGCTTTTCAACTTAAAATGTGAAACATATCTCAAAGTTAATATTTTAGGACGGCCAACTGAGGAATACCGACGGCAGTTGGGTAGCTTTGGCGTTTCTGGAGATTTGGCCCTGCAAAGTATTGAAAGTTTGTCTGGAGGTCAAAAGTCTAGGGTTGCATTTGCCAAAATGTGCATGGCTTTGCCCAACTTCTTGATTCTTGATGAACCAACTAACCACTTGGATATTGAGACCATCGAAGCTCTCGGGAAGGCGATCAACAAGTTTACGGTAAAGATTTTTTTAATTTGAATTGCGGCCAACCTAATGTTGCTTTTAATTTTAAGGGAGGCATAATTTTGGTTTCTCACGACGAACGTTTGATTCGCATGGTCTGCCAAGAGCTGTGGGTTTGCGGCGGTGGCAAAATTGTGGCCATCGAGGGCGGTTTTGACGAGTACAGGAAAATCATTGAAAAGGAGCTGGAAGCTGTTGCCTAAATTATTATTGATTCTCAGTGAGAAAAAAAAATTTAATAAAAATCAGATATCTTCATAAAATAGATTATTTTTATCCCTCTCTTATAAAATTATTTAAATTGGAATTAAAAATTACAGCTATGGATTACAATTCGTTCTTTGATTGCTATGCAAATGAGTTCAGTATTTGTGATCAATCATTATGCCCCACATAAGCTCATCCTTTCTAGCAACATGCATGTTCTCTATCTCATGAGAACAATTCATCTTCATCGTTCATTTTCACCAGGAAGGATTTTTATCGCGGTCAGCTTTTTTCTGCACCCAAGATTTTAACAACTTTGCGCGTGCTGGTCTGAAATGGTTAGACATACTTTTGTGTTATCAAATTAGAGACATGTAGCGATGTAGGTCACACATCAAAGGCTAGCTAATGACCCCAAGCCGCTGTCCACTCTATATTCTATTTCCAGCTTTGGTATACAAACAAAACATACTAAAAAATTACTTAGTAAGCAAAATAATTTTTCAGCGGTATCGTTTTTACTAGTTAACTGATTTTCAATTTTTCTTTGTCACACAAAAAATGAAATAAATTATAAAATAATACCCTTAAGATCAACATGGTTAATCCTCGAGAGGAAATAATACAAAATAAATATTTTATTTCTTTCACTAAAATTGTCATCCCTAGAATTTGTTTCATTTTTTCACATAAATGTAATTTATCCTTTTAAAATAAATTTCTTTGAATATACTTGATGGGCAAGTTTTTCCGCGCGTTTCGCTCACCCTCTCTTCCGAAATTAAAAAGTTGTGCACCACTCTTCCGGCTGACCTCGACGCAGGTTGTGGTTCTTGGTCGTCATGACGACGCGTCCTCATTGAGAGCGCTGGCAACTGGTCAATGAGAGCGAAAACATAGTTTGTTCGCTAAATTCTAGTGACACACTTCTACGCTCGAGACATGGTGGCCGTCGCTGACACTTTGGACGCAACTTTTCTGCAGGGAGCGGCGGCCAAGACGGAAATGGGGTGAGTTTTACATTCCATAGTATAGAATGAGGTCTGCTGATCGCCTCAGCGACAATTGTCACATGCACTTAATACACAAATTTGAAGTAATTAAATTTAAATCATTTAAAATTTTAAATTTTTTATTAAAAATAATTCCATTTTGTATATTTTCTGAAAACAAAAAGTGTATGATGGGATATGGAAAAATAATGCCATTGATAAAATAGTGCGTTTTTGGGCACACGGCGTTCGTTCGGCACCGCAATGTTATTGCTCCCAAACCTCATAAATATGTAATAAGTCGAACTGAATTGCGCCGCTCGCATAGAATTTCAAACGCTCAAAACCGCCTTCATTGTATTGATATTTATTTTTCATTCAACAAATTGCTGCTCAAATATGAGTGGATAAAATAAATTGCTATCTTTCGATTCTTATTCGCAAACCCTTTTTTATTGCTGCAATGATTTTTCTTTAATTTTCATAATGAAGCTGCTTAATAAGGAATTATTTCCATTTATGATGCAAATGCGTCGAGTGTGTGGCGAAATTGAAGATTGCGAGAGCCGATCGATTTGAATAAAAGTTGCGGCTCCACTCAGCGCCTGGTCCGGACGCGTACGGGCCAGTCCACTTTTCGGACCGCGGCACTCACACATATGGTGCGTTAGGGTTCGACCTAATTTACAGCACGAGTTTCTCGCTCCTATGGGGATCCTCTGCGTGCATGCAACCTGCCGGCCGGGCCGCGTGCTGTCTAGTTATTAATAGAGAGGAAGTTTCGGAAATATCCTTATCGACCTGCAGGATTCCGGTTAATTCGCTTCGTGTGAGAAAAGTACATGATTTATATTTCCGAACAGCAGAAATCAGGATTGTTTTCTATTTTTCCATAAACCGAAAAACTTGTTTCTTTTTTTATATAAATATATAACTTTTTGAGAACAAAAGGGTTGCAGCGATTTTCTAAACCTTGCCGAGAAGTTTTCAAAACATAAGGGCCGCTGCTAACACGTTGAAAATCTCTCTCACAGGAGAGGAACGGCGCCGTCACGAACACATGCACGCCAATGAATTTCGCTATCTCGGCGCGAGATGATATAAAATTAGAGCGCAACTCCTGGGGGCAATAAAGAGGCCATTAGCAAGAGTGGAAACAATCCTCCCTCCTCTCGCGGGTCCACTTACGAAAAAGAAAATAAGGCTCTTTCGTCAGTCGTAAATCAAGCATGCAAATGAGCACATATCAGAAGGAAAATTAATCAAATCTCAAGGCTTCTTGTTCTAATTCACGCATTCGATTCTGTTTTAGGCGGCAAAGGAAGTTGATCAGTTTCCGACGGAACTAGGAGCCCATTTCTAGTCAAACACGCGTATGGTGGATAATGTTTGGGGCGGGAAAACCTACAAAGGTGCTAATAATAAACGTTTGTACAACCGATTCGTCACGTCCCTAATGTACGCCTGCCAGCAGAATCGTGACAGCCAAGTCCGAGAGCTTCTTGCCCAAAAAGTGTGTATTTTTTTTTTCATTAATAAATTCTTTTTGCTAAAGTTGTTTTTTTAGTCAGATATAAGGCAGCGGGACCGAACGATGAAGAGCGCGTTGCACTATTGCGTCGAGAACTCGAGTTCAACAAGCGCCGAATTGGTCCTCGCAGCGGCGCCCGAGTTGCTCGACGCCAAGGACAAGGACGGATTCACGCCTCTCCACCTGGCAATTATCGCCGGCAACCTGAGTCTCGTCCGCTTCCTGCTGCACAAAAGGGCCGACCTGAGCGTTGTTGACAATGAGAAACACTCGGTCGTCCACTGGGCCACAGGTTTGTACAAAGTTTTTATATAAAAAAAGTTCAGCGCTGTTTTAATATAAATTATCAAGCTCTTCCAGTGAAAATAAAATGCTACACGGAGAAAATGAGAATTTTAGTAGCAATGCGTGTTGTCCATTAGCCTAAAAATCGATGATCGACATTCTGTTGTTGTGTAGATTCTAGATAATTATACTCCCAAAATGTAATATAAAGTTACATGCTGATTTTGGAACTGCATTACAACCTGATTGCCATTTTTGTTGAGCTTGGCCAGAAAACTGAAAAATAAATTTAAATTTTCCAATTTATTTAGTTTGTGGAGAGTTGGAAGCTTTGGAGGCATTGTTGGAATCTGGCGCCGATCCATCAATGCCTGACATCCACAATGGCTACCCGATTCACTACGCTGCCCAAATGTGTGGTCCCCACTCAGAAATGGGCACGGACGTCAAAGTGGGTCTAAAAATGCTGGCCGCTCTGCTCGCCCGCAAAGTTGATGTCAACGTTGTGGACAGCGACGGACGGCAGCCGATTTTGTGGGCAGCTAGTGCAGGTAAATTTTCCATTTTAACTTCATAGAGGAGGGTTCCTCATATATCCATTTGGAAAATAAAATGATAATAAATACAATAACGTCTTAATACAAAATGTGGAAAAAAATTAAAACAAAATAATGATATGCAACCTGCTCAACACCTCTGTCAAGCGTATTGCCTAACTTGGTAATTTGCAGGCGTTCTTTTCTTTTTTTACTATGACTCTGCTATGACTATTATTTTTATTATTGTTGTTTATTTGTCCACATCGTTACAAATACATTGTTTACATTCAATTTTGATTAATTTTTAATTAACCGCTTGCATATTGTTGATTTTTTTAATTTAACTTTTAAATTTTTCTAAAATGAGTATGGATTCTATGTGTTATAATTTTAGGCAGTGCAGATGCCGTTTTGTCGCTGATAAACGCGGGAGCCGCAGTTGAGGCGGCCGACAAGGACGGCTTAACAGGTAAAAATCCCGTTCGTTTTGCATTTTACGAGTTCTTCATGCGACGAACTTTCAGCACTGCACTGCGCGGCGAGCCGAGGACACACAGAGTGCCTGGAAACTTTGATAACTCTGTGCGGCGCCGACGTGAACGTGATCGACAACCACGGGTGCACGGCGCTCTTCTACGCCGTCACCCTGGGCCACGCCGACTGCACCCATCTGCTGCTCAACTTCGGCGCCAATTGCAACACCCAGGACAGGCGAGGCAGAACGTGAGTGCCTCGTTGAATGTTTTAATGTGAACATTAAAAATTTTAACTATTTTTCAGTGCGGCGCACTGCGGTGCAGCCAAGGGTCAGTTGGAGACTTTGAAGCTGCTGCACATGGCCGGCGCCGATTTGTGGCAAAGAAACGTGCGAGGCGATTTGCCCTTGCACGACGCAGTGCAGAGTGGGCGGAGGGAACTCGTCCGGTGGCTGCTTGCCCTGCGACCGGAAATGGTCACCGCGGCCAACAGCGACGGCTGCTCAAGTCTGCACATCGCGGCCATCAGGAATTATGTGGAGATGTGCAGAGTAAGCAAAAATTGTTCAAAGCCACAATTTGAAGTTGAAATTTGAATTTATTCCAAGGTGCTTTTGGATGCCGAATCTTTTGTGAACCCTGTCATGCGAACTTCCAAGGGCGCCCTCTTGACTCCGCTGGACGCAGCCCTGGCCAAGGAAAACCGCAGCTGCGCCAAATATTTGCAACTTCTCGGAGGCGTCCCGGCGTCGAAACTGACTGAAGAGGCAGCCGCCTTGCGTGGCCAGAGAAAGTATTTAATTTAAAAATTAATCGTTTTCATATTTCATAATGGTTTTGTAGAGCACAAATTGACTTTGAAAGCCAAATGGATTATCTGACTCCTCGGTTAGACACAAATTTGTCAACTACGTCAGCCGTGCTCAACTTTGACACGTCAGGAGCAAACACACCTGCGTTACAGCCGGCGCCAATTCAAGTAAAATATTCATAGATAAAGAGGAATTATTAAAAATTTGATAATTGATATAGGTGACACAAATGAGTTCTCTTCAAGTCGAGGCGGAAAATGTGGCCGAAAAAAGCGAAGAACGCAGTAAATCCTCGCACAGAAGTGCAAGAAAAGCTCGGACGAGAAAATCGAAATCGCCTCGCAGTTCTTCAAGCGAGAGTGAAACTGAGCTTAAGGAAAAAAGCGCCAAAAGCTCGCGGACAAAAAGAAAGAGCAGACGGAATTCATCGCGAAGGGAGAAGAAAGAGAGACAAGTTGACGAAGAAATAGTAGAAGGTAAGTTTCTCAAATTTTAAATTTATTTATTAATTTTATCCTGGTTGTTTTGCTGCAACTAGGTGAAACAAAGCCGGGTGAGGTGATCGATGTCAAAACGGACGCGCAGAGCAAACAGGAGAATCATACACGGCACGCCAAGGAGGCGAGTGCAACACGCGAGAAAATTGCCAAGAGCACACTCGAGCAGGAATCGCCAGTCGCTCTCAACGCGAAACCGCACATCACAGCAACTTCAGAGCTGCCGAACGCAAGTCACGAAGAACAATCGAATCAGGCAAAAGCAGTAGGGACGGTGGGATCGAAAAGCTCCGATGCGAAAGAGGATAAATTGAAAGGCAGGGAAGTAGGAGAAAAGAGAGCCGTTCGAGATAACAATAATAAGATCAAAGAAGATGCAACCAAGAAGACGAAAAGCAACGGGAAAAGCTCAAATCAGCAAAGTCTTCAGGAAAAAAGCGAACAAGCAGTTTCCGATAACAAAGTAGAAATCAAGGTCTATCCGAAGGTGGTCATTGATAGCCCTAACACGAGTGGAATTACGACTGACAGCGAAGCGGCCTCGACGGGAAGTGTGGAAAGCTGTATGGAAATCACTGCGGCGACCGAAAAGGACAATTTAAAGAAAACGAAAATTGTCGAAAAGGCGTCTGGCAATAAAGCCTCAAAGAACGGAGAAGTGCCCAAGGAAGCAGCGAAAAAAGCCGCTCCTGCCAGGGCGCCGTCGAAAGATAAGGGCGGTGAGAAGAAAGTGACCAAAACGAAAGCTGCAGCGCCTGAAAATAAAGCAAAAAAAGAGACGGCGAAGACGGAGGAAATTTCACAAAAAGTTAAAAAAGTGGAGATTCATGAGGTCCAGAGTAAAAATGAACAGGGCATTACCACTCAGAGTCAACCGGTTTCCAAAAGTTTTGAAATAGCAAATGAAAGTAAAGTTCAGAAGAAGGTGGAAAATGAGGAAATTGTTGAAGCTCAAATTGTTTCATCTTCGTCTGGAGAACAAAAAGAGGAAAAAACAAAAGATGAAAAGGCTACAGAAGAGATTAAAACAGAAAAGATAATAGAGGTGAAAAATAATGATGAGAAAACTGATGTCAAAATTGAATTCAAAGCACCTCTCAAAGAAATCCAGGCGGTGAAAGAACAACACATTGAAAAAGAAACGCAACAAGGTATTAGCGTGCCCTCCATAGCTATAATTCCCGGAATTCCTGCCAAACAAGAAGAACAAGAAGAAAAGCCACCAAAGGAAGCGAAACCGAAAGTGACAGTTGCTTCTGAAAATAGTGTTGAAAGGAAGATTGAATTGGTGCAAGAAGAAGTTTTATTTGAGAGAGAAAGTGTGAAGGAGCAAAATTCCAAGGCGCCAGAAGTGGCGGAGAAAAACGACTCTTCAACCGCACCCCTGGGGAGTGTGGTTGACAAAGGCACGACCAAGCAGCAAAAACAACCACTTGCCGCTAGCAGTTCCAAGGGTGAAGATGGGGATGAAAAATCGCGAATTAACACGACGTCGGAAAACGCCTCTGGTGACACAAACAAAGCGAGGCCGGCAGCAGTCACGGAAACTCCAAACACGCAAATCGTCGTGAATCAAGGTGAGGTTGAAAAGCAAATAAAAATTCCAACAATAATAAGCTCCAAAGACGAATCAGAAGCGGTATCGCAAGGTGGGGACACGACCGAAACCTATGATGACACCAGCCGTCCGCTGACGGGAGCAACGGTGAGCGAAACAACGTCCGACTTCAGAAGCGGCGAGTCCGAGGGCAAAAGTTGCTCCGAGTCGGAGACGAAAGACGAAAAACCAGCAGCTACTAAAAAACAGACGAAAGAAATAACGAAGCGCAAAAGTGAAACGACATCAGACGTATCCGCCACCGAGGATCAAACACATTCAGACAGCACGCACATCTCATCGGAAAATCGTCACCAGAGCTCTCCGAAGAAAGCCCTTCCGAAACACAGTACAAAAAAAGAGCATTTGGCCAACAAGTCGTTGAAGGCTGAGGGCAAAAGGGAGGCCAAGGGCAAGCATAAATCTTGCGATATTTTATCCAGCGACGAAGGCCAGAAACCGAGGGTGGCCGATACTCACCCGGAGGAAGGGAGGAAAACGGTGGCATTCGAGAAGGCAGACGTTCAGCCGCACAAAATCTTGATCGACGGCAAGCAGCTAATTAATGGCAAGCCGAGCCAGCGGGTCACGCCGCTGACCAAGATGCACGCGATCGAGCAGAGCGCCCAAATCGAGGAGGACGAGAAGAAGGCGCGTGAGATCATCAGGAAGCGGCACGAGCAGTCGGTCGTCTCGGTTACCCAGGCCGTCCAAGTGAGCACCCGAAAGTGAGTGGTTTTCATGCATTAATCAAATAACGAGCCGATCACGCTCATCGACTCAAATTCCAAAGCCTAACAATTGCACGAATAGGTAGAATAATTATATCAAATCAAGCTAACGCGGACCGGGAAATTCAACAGGTACCAACTGGAGAGGCGGATTTTCCAGGAGCTGCTAGAGCTGAAAAAGGCGCAGCTCAGGGCCGGAAGGGGAAACGAGAGCATTTTGGTCAAGAGGGCTGTCGATGAGTACCGAAAGGAGGGATTGATTGTCGGGTTAAGACAGTACGACGGTCCCTATTCCTTCAGGGCGTTCGAACAGTATTTATATGGTAAGAGAATCCTCATTTGAAACAATTATTAATTAATTTTCACCATAATTCATTGAATTATATTATAATTTAAATTTATTAAACATCAATTATACAATGAATGTAATTATTTTTAGTTGCTCTGATAAAAATAAAATAAATAAAATTCATATAATTAATGAAAACTATTTTCCAATCAAAATTTTTTAAATTAATTTATCAAAGGGAGCTCACAATATCAACCTGCATCTGCCTGCATCTAAACTGAAAAAAAATATTTTCTGAACCGTTTCCCATAACAACAATGTCATTTGATGTAGACTTAACACTGCTTATATTTGAAAGTGATTTGGTGAATTTTAAATTATCTTATAAAGTTAATCCATGAGACAAAACGTTGCTTTGATCAATTAAGTTATCGTCCTAATGAATTATATTTTCTAATTATGCCTCCATGGAAATTAAATGTACAAGCCAATGCTAACGTACAGAAAAACTATCATCAAAAATAATCTTATACTGTTTGTTTTATAGCATATAAAATTGCTTAAATCGACTAACAATAAATTATGATTAAGATTTAATTAAACACGAATTAAATATCCCATAAAATTTCATAAATATTCCCATTTCAGACCAGTTGAAATTGCTGCAAAACAGTTCTGACGCCAGAATAATCGCGCGTCTAAAACCGACAGACGACGTCAACTCTCTGGCCGCCGCTCTCCGACTTTCCATTCCCCGAAACGTGCAGCAACACTCGCCGGCGTTCTGCACTATCAGCACCCACAGGTGCAAGCACGCCACGGATGCCTACACAACCCCGCCTGTTGCCAATTACGGTGAGCGTCCTTGGCACTTCCTTACAAGAGACAGATTAATAATTTTTTTTTTTCAATTCCAGTGAATCGACTGCCGCAGACGGAGCGATTTCTGCCGCAGATTGGGTCGCCGCCGGCGCGCCACAAGTTGGTCAAGAGCTCGACGTTGCCTGCGACCGGCACCATGAAGCACGTGGACATCAGGCAGCCCATGACCCTGGAGCTGAGTCTCGGCGGCGAAAGGCAAATTGTGGCCCTGCCGACGGACAAGCTGGACCGCTCGAAACGCTACTATGTCTCCTTCTCCATCAAGCCCAAGCACGGACAAAGTGATTCGACTGACGCAGAAGTTTCCGAGGAGAAAAAGCAGGACAAACACAAACACGCCACCACGATTTGAATTTTCTAACCCTCGAGGTGCAAAACGGACGTGGACAGATCATTAATTCATTTGTAAAAAAGTGCATGAAAAATGAACACCGCCGTCATTTCCGTGTGGAGTTTTTGCTTTTGTGTTGAAATTCTAGATAAGTTGAATTGCAGCAGGCACTCTCATTGTTAGAAACGTGATAGATTTATTCATTATCGATCGGTTTAGCTTCTCTGTGAAATTTTTAATGTTGGATGTTAACAAACGTGTTTGATCACTGAAATATTCTTCATTGTCTCCTGTACTCTTTAAGAATTTGATAATAAAAAGAACAGTTTTTTAATAAGATCTTATCATTACGGTTATTGAAAAGCTTAAAAAATTAATTTTACTTTTATTTTAAAAGAAATAAAGGTTTATGATGAAATAATTTTACTACAGGTTTTTTGTTATTGAAATTGAGATAAGTTTATTTATTCATCAATTACAAAGTCAAGAATACACGCATTTGATTTTATCTTTAATGCAATTATGTCAAAATGTGATTGAACAGAGATTTAAAATGTGAAAGGGCTGTCTGGAGAAGTCTGAAGTTAGTGAGCTATCATGTGCTTGCTGAGGACAGTTTTATTTTCAGTACTAACCTGCTAGTCCGTTTTCATATTTATCTGTCTGGCTTCTTCCTAAGAAACCTTGGGCTTAACTCCCACTTTTCTTTCTTCTATGCTTCTATTTTCTTTTTTCGCTCAGTGTCTACAATAAGCAAAGGGCTTGCTGCGTGAGAATTCCCTTCTCTTGCATTTTCTCTCTTAATTCTTTCGAAAGCAGCCACACTTGCGAAATACCGGCTTGCAATTTTCTTTCTTCCCCCCGCTAATTCTTACTTCATCCATTACCACGGCTTTCAATACCTTATGAGAAAACAAAAAGTTGAGGTTAGAACCAAGAGAAGCATCTAATATGAAGACATAAGTGACACAGTGATGTGGCGGGGAGTTTAGTTTGGGGACTTTGATCAAAACAATGTCAACTAAATTGCAATTAATGATTAATCCAAAGAAAACAAATGTCGAGTTGAAACGTTTTGCACTAGTGATACTCGAAGTGAGACAAAAACTATAAAAGGGAGGCGGGGGAAAGCGCACACATATCATTAACTTAATGCGTACTGAGGGCAATCTCTGTCACACAAACGCCCGTGTCCCAGTTACGGACACCTAAGGATTAAATGAAAAATCAATTCCCCCGGGAGGAGAGAGATGTTTTAAACGTGTCCCCTTCCAATGAACCATCGAGATGCAGCATCAGATTAATAACGACCTGAAATCGTAAGGTCAGAAACAAGGTGAGGTTTTGTTATCGACAATCTGGGCAGTCTTCTTTCTAACTAAGAAAAGGAGGGAGAGAAATAAGGACACACTCGGTAGAGACTTTCAACTGGAGCCATACAATTGGAGAATTTACAGCGACTGCCACATTTATGGATTACTTGTATGTACGAGTGTTGCCAGCACCAAATTATAACGACAAATTTTAAATTTATAACTTGGCCAAGTGGGATATTTCCGTTAATGATTTAGTACTCACGGGGAGAGTAGGAGCGGGACCGAGAGCGCTCGTAACGGCCCTTGCGAGAGCGCGAAGAATAGTACGGAGACGGAGAGCGGCGGTATCTTTCACGGTAGCGCTCACCTCCATAGGCATCGTTGCTGAAAAGGCCATTGAATTTTTGATTATTATTATTCAAACTTTATTTTCTTATGAGGCGTCGTTTGCAACAGAGTCCAAAAAATCAAGAGAAAAAATGGCAAATGTTACAATGTATTCCATAACACGAACAGTTCTGAACAAAACTGATAAAAGAACTAAGATATAAGAAAAGGGTAATCTATAATAACAAAATTAAAAATTCAAATTTTCTGCATAAAAATTAGTTACATAAAATTTTTTGGATGGAGGAATCTTCAAAAAATTAGCAATATAATCTTACCCATCGTGCCTGGGGCGTCTGCCACTGCCTCCCCATCTTTCTCTCTCCGGACTTCTACCTCGGCTGTGGACTTCCCTGCAATGATATATTTTATTAGTTTCAATCGATTGAACAAAAACGTGACCAGTACGTTGGTTTTCCCATGTATATGCCAGGGGTGGGAGTGTGCGCCCTCTGGGTGATGGAGAAGTCAACACGGATTCTGCGTCCGTCAATCTCCATGCCTGAGCACCTGTCCTTGGCCACTTTGGCGTCCTCTTTGCTGGTGTAGTAAACAAAAGCAAATCCACGAGATCGACCAGTCTGTGCACAAATAATTTAAAAAATAATTTCAAGCAGAAAAATCAAACAAACCTTGGCATCTATCACTACTTGGACCCTCTCAACAGGGCCGTACTTGCTGAAGATGCTTGATAGTTCATGCTCGGTGGTGTAAATGCTCAGGCCAAATACTCCCACACACCGACTCTCATTCGGCTGGTCCTAGAAAATTTAAAATTGCTATCATGTTTCAAAATTTAATTCGTATCTTTACCCTGTTTCCAATATGTCTGCGTCGGTTGGACATGGGACTCCTCGAGTGGCTTCTCATGATGCCATCCCTGTCTCTCCTACGGCTGCGGGAACGAGAACGTGACCTCGAGTACTCCCTGGCCCTCCTTGGAGACCTGGAACGGCTCCTCGAGCGGTACCTGCCCCTCTCACCACGTTCGCCACGGTCACTTCGCTCTCCGCGGAAGGACATCTTTCTCTTATTAGAAGGGCTTCTGATTTATCAAAATTAATAAGTTGCAAATCGAGTTGTTGTTAAAAATTAAATTTTGCACCTGGAGCGTGAGAACGAGTTGCGTCGGACTTCAAGTCTGGCTGGACTGGGCGACCTGCTAAGTCTGGCTCTGTGGGGGCTGTGCACGACGTGCTTGTCCAAGTCTGCGCTTCTGTACGATCCACTCCTCGCTGGGCTATGCTGCAAGAAAAATCAAATGAGTCAAAATTAAGAGAAATAACAATTCATTCGGAGAAATGTTTAAGCTTTTTTTGTTTTGTTTTTTTAGTAAGAAATTTTTACAGCATAAACAAAAATATTACAGAATTCTTGTCCGATTTCTGTCGTTTCTTAGGGAAGTGATCTCGAGAGACCGGCAGGGAGGAATAATGCAAATGTTCCAAACTTTTTTTCAGCTTAAAATTATTTTGGCATAGTATCGGTAGCATCTTCTCGTCGATTAAGAATTATGAATTATGAAACGTACATTATTATATTTGTATTAATCTGGCCTTGAAACACTTATAAAATGCGGAAGTAAACTGCAAAATTTTATGGGAGTCGAAATTCACGGCCGCTTGATTGACTTGTTTCTCCTCTTTTTTGGCCACGAATCCGCTCACGCAAACTTTGTTTCGCAATTTAAAAAACATTCCCGACCATCTATGTTTTCAAAATTCTCAATTCTCACCTCTCTGTCACTCATGCCTCAATCGTGTGGATGAAAACGCCAAATACTTCGGAGTTGATCCGGCTTTGGCGCACAAGGAATGCAGAGATCTTCTGAAAAAGTAAGATGGCCGCCAATAATGCCGGTGCTGCGGCGGCAAAGATCCTTGAGAAAAGTTGGTCTTGTTATGTTGGCAAGAGTCTGCTATCCACACGTAAAACTTAAATTTTCAACTATATTTTTTAAGAGTTTTATACATTTCATTTGTGCTAATTAATCAATTAAATTTCCTTTTATTAAATATGTGATAGACATTGCAAGTCCTGCAAGTGCAATACATATATTGCATTGTTTTAAATTAAAAAAAAAGAATCAAAATACGCAAAATACACCATGAAACTTTTTTATGTTGGCACACAATTGAAAAGTATGGTTTGAGTATGGTGGTGCAAATAGCAAAAAACGAAAAACAATCCGGATCCCGGATCTGATATAAACACAAACAGAAATTAGAGACATAAACAAGGAATCTTTGAGAATTAATTTTGCTCCTGCAGTTTGACGGAAATTTGAGACGTTCTGCATGATACACTTGAGGGTCCCGTGCTTCGTCAATTTATTTTGTTTATTGAATTTTATTTTAAAACCATGTCACATTACAAAGATGATTACGACGAAGGCGATGACATCAGCGAGGACGGCGAAATAAGATCCCGAGCCGTCAAGATCAAAGCAAAACGACATGTGGACGAAGGGTCTGAGTAAGATTTATTTAGACGGAAAAAGGAAGAAAATTCTGTACTGAAATTTTTGAATTTTCAGTGTTTCGGACACGCAGGACTCTCTAGACATTCGTCCGCCGCAGAGCATTCCAAGCAAAGAACACATGAAGCGGTCAAGGACAGATCGCAGTCGCTACGGCGACAAGACAAGCGGTGGTCGTCGGCAGAGGAAGGACTCGCACCGCAAGGGTCACCACAGACAAAGGGAGCACAGAAGGACCGAACGGAGCAGCAGGGACGGCAGCAAGCGGCAGCACCGCGAACGGCGCGAGGAAAGGTCCTCGCAGAGCGGAAGTCGCCGCGAGGAGCGACCGCCGCCGGCCTTGATGTCCCTGCCGACCCCGCAGATCGAAGACCTCCGAGGTCACCTGGAACGCAAGAGCGAGAAGAGTAGGAGTGATAAGGACAAGGAGCACCACAGGGAGAGAAGCAGGGTGGAGCCCGAGGTGCGAAAACCGCCGCCGGAGACTCCACAGCAGAGGGAGGAAAGACTGGAGAAGGAGAGGAGGATGGAACGCATTCTTAACGCAGGTGAGAGTGAGAGAAATTGTGATTTTTTTAGGGTGCTAATTTATGAGTTTATTTCTACAGAGAGGGAACGGGAGAGGCAAAAGGAGATCTCGAGGAAGGAGATGGAAATGAGGAAAACACGACGAGAGAAAGAAGAAGAGCCTGCTGTCGACAAGGAACAGATCCAAAGAAAAAAGCCAAAATTGGAAGAGGAAAAAGGTTTTGTATTTTCTTCACCGTTTTGGAAATTTTAAAGATGTATTTTTTTTTTTTTTTTTTTTTCAGAATTTGAGGAGGTCACTGTTGAGTCTGACAGTGAAGAGGAGTCACAGGAGGATGGCGAGGAGCAGTCCGAGGACAGCAGCAGTGATGTAAGGTTTAAGTTTCAAAGTTGAGTAAAATTTTAATGTATAATTATTAGGGACAGGAAGAAGAGTCGAGTAAAGAAGAGTCCAGCAATGAAAGTGACAGCGAGTCTGGATCGTCCTCAGATTCTTCGGATAGCAATGACGAGGAAGAATCGGAAAATGCAGAGGTGGAGGAGAGCAAGGTTGAGAAAAAGGTCAGCGACAAGTCCGAGGAGGAGGATAAAAATGATGACACGGCGTATGTCAACACACCGCCACAGTAAGCTAATTATTTGAAATTCTCTGGTCATGAAATAAATTTTTCATTTTGAAATTTAGTCAAAATTTAATCTTTTTTATATTTTTATTAAAATTAACAATATGAACTTGACCACAAATACTATAATAATTACTAAAAATTAATAAACAAATACTTTAATTTCAATAATGTTATGTAATGAAATCAATTTAAACTATTACAAAAATTGTAGAAATTAAATAAATACTAATTGTTCAAATAAATTTAAATTGTTATTCAATTTTGGTTCATAATTGGTTTTCATTCGATTTGCCAAATTTTTCAGCTCTGACGTAGAAATGGTTGAAGAGGAAGAAGTGGACCCGTTGGACAAACTGCCGCCGTACCTGCCAGCAATCCAAGGGTGCCGCAACGTTGAGGAGTTCCAGTGCCTGAACAGAATCGAAGAGGGCACCTACGGCGTTGTGTACAGGGCGCGCGATAAACGCACCGAGGAAATCGTTGCCCTGAAGAGGCTCAAGATGGAAAAGGAGAAGGAAGGCTTTCCCATCACTTCCCTCAGGGAAATCAACACCCTTCTCAAAGCCCAGCACCCCAACATAGTCACCGTGCGTGAAATCGTGGTCGGCAGCAACATGGACAAAATTTTCATTGTCATGGACTACGTCGAGCACGACCTCAAATCACTCATGGAAACCATGAAGCAGAAAAAGCAGTTTTTCATGCCAGGTCAGATTCTTTAATTTGAATTGAAAAAATAATAATGTGAATTTAAGATTTTTTGTGAAATTTATTCTGAATAAAAAATTTGATCTTATCACAGGAGAAATCAAGTGTCTGATGCAGCAGCTGCTGAGAGCCGTTGCACACCTGCATGACAATTGGATCCTGCATCGCGATCTCAAAACGTCCAATCTTTTGCTGAGTCATCGAGGCATCCTTAAGGTTGGAGATTTTGGCCTTGCCAGGGAGTACGGCTCTCCTTTGAAGGCCTACACACCCATTGTGGTCACCTTGTGGTACCGGGCGCCGGAACTTTTGCTTGGAGTTAAGGTTTGTAGTTGGTCTTATCAGACTTAAATCTATTACATATTTTATTTTTCTACTCAAGCCGTTTGAAAAACAAAATTAACAGAACCTTAAATAACAAAGGTTTCCATTCCTTCAAATAATAGTGCATTTTTTTTTTTACATTTTTAGGTATTTTTAATTTTTAATAAAACTATTATACACAACCTAATAATTTTACTGAAAAATTTATATAATTTTAACAATATTTAATTTAAACAATTTTAACAATATTTCAAACAAAATTCATTTAAAAAAAATTAATTAATTTAAAAATTTTAAATTAATTAATTTTTTAAATGAATTTTGTTTGAAATATTTTAAATTAAAATTAAATGGGATTTTAAATCATTTAACTCTAACACTATTATTTGATTGTAATAAAAATTTATGAATAATTAACAATTATTTTGAAAAAAAAAATACTATAATACTATTATACAATATTATATATATAATATATATTTTAAAAGAAGTATAGAAATATAAAGAAATAATCAAAACTAAAATTTAATACAATTATAAAAACGCATCAATTTTATTAAATATAAATTGTAGTAACAAATTTTCTCATTTAACTTTGATTTTATTGTCCATCAAAATCAGTTTTTATGAAACATTTTTATTTTTGTCTGTTTTCTCTATTTTTTTTCATCTCTCCAGGAATATTCTACACCGATCGATGTGTGGTCTGTGGGGTGCATTTTTGCCGAGCTGCTGCTGATGGAGGCTCTTTTCCCAGGCAAATCCGAAATCGACCAGCTGAACAAAATCTTCAAAGCTCTCGGCACCCCGAACGAGAAGATCTGGCCTGGTTACAAAAAACTTCCCAACGTCCAGAAAATGACTTTTGCCGAATACCCGATCAGTCACCTGAGGACAAGATTCGCCACCTCCCTCACCGAGTACGGTTTCGACCTTATGAACAGGTGACAAAAATTTAAACGTTTGGTTGTCACCATTTAAAATCAATCACCTTCCAGTTTTTTGACATTCGACCCCGCCAAGCGGATAACAGCAGAGGCCGCGATCAAGCACAAGTATTTTGATGAGACCCCGTGCGCCATTGACCCTGCAATGTTCCCCACGTGGCCTGCCAAGAGTGAGATGGGCCACAAGAAAGCCGCTTCGTCGCCAAAGCCCCCCTCCGGAGGCCGAGAGTACAAACAATTAGTAAGAAACTATTGAAAATCAAATGAAAAGGCTTGTTAAATTATTTGAAATTTTCTAGGGTGACGGTGAAGATGACATCACTGTGGCAGGCAGAAGTCTGTTCGAAGCACGGAAAACCGTGGTCGGAGCTGGCTTTGCTCTGAGATTTTGAAGAAAAATAAACAATCAAGAGAATGTGGAAAGAGGAAGGAAAAAATAAAGATCTAATTGTACTCGTAAACTAACAATAAGCCAGTATTTTGAATTTACAGGAGTTTCCAAGATAGAGATAGACACTGTACGCAAAAAAGAGAGGGTGGGAAGCAGTGGCGAGAAAAGGGCAGTGGGTGAGACAGAGAGAAGCAGATCAGAAATGGGGCCTGACCAGATTTTTTTTTTTTGTCGGTGAAAGAAGCAGAGCAGAAACAGATTAGACTACAGCGGAAGTAGGCTTGGGGCCAACAAACGGGGGTGGGAAGAGGCACAGGACAGAGAGTGATAAGCAAAAATAGCAGCGACAGATTTTCAGAGTCCCACAATGAAGAGGGCTACTTTTTAATGAGGTGTTGAGTAAATACACATACACAATAATAGCATTGCAGTGACAATGACAGATAATCGAGTAAACTAATAATTATAATCGTAATAATTAATTAATTAATTATGTATATAATAATAAATGGAAAGTAAAAAAGAACTACATCGAAAGTGCGTTAATTAATGAAGATAATAAAAAGAGCATAGATAGTAATTGACAGGCACGCATCCAACCAAATTCACATTTTTTGTTTCTTTCGAAATTTCCCCGGGCGCCCGCTGTTTCCTGCGGCCGTGAAAACGGAACGCCCGATTTCAATGGAGAGCGGCGTACGATGGTACGCGATGGTATATTTTAATGGTGAGTGAGTTGTGATTAAAGGGGGCCCAAGACGAGCGCTGAATGCGTTTCAGCCATGCTTTTATTATGAAAAATATCTGGGAGAAATGTCCACACAGTTTCATCATCTTGTTTCCTCTTACAAAAAAATGAGACACAAAAATAATAGTATTGTATAATACTTAACAGTAATCATAATAATAATACTAATACAGAATCGCTTAAAGATTAACAAGAATAAAATATTTTTTTCTTTTCTTCTTTTGCGACCACAAAGTGTATGCGTGTGAAAAATGTGGGATGAACGAGAGACGTGTGTAGCAATCTAGACGAATTCAATTATATAATGAGTGAAAATCTGCTTTTCCGACACTTACGAGAACTACTGGCGATCTAGAAATTCAACAACTTGTCAGCAAAGACATGATAATCGATCGATTGATGTGTATGTGTGAGTGATCAGTACTTGTAATTTTTTTTCAATTAATTAATGCAAAAATCAACTCTCTTCTTCACTTGCGACGCCGGACGAACATGCAGAATGTGTTTTTTAAAAAAAACCTATACCTGTATTATGAGAGTTTACGAGTGTAGTTAGATGATAAAAAAAGGAGAAAAAAGGACTTGATAAGTGTGTTATGTAATAATAAGGAGTCTGATTGATAAAACTGACTTGGCCTACTGCTACGCACATCTTAACATTATTTAAAAAGCCTTATGTCGTAAACACAAACGCGCCTGCAATTAACTATATAGTGTGTGTGTATGTTACAGCGCGGCGGCGGATATTTCAACTCGGAGGAGGAGAGGACGATAATAATTACACAATAAATAATTAATTAATTCGCGCGCGCGCGTTTCCAACTAATTAAATAGGAGGACAATAGAGCCTGACCGACCGACACAAAATACTATTGTTGTTTTTGGCGTGATGCCTGAGAGACATGCGTGTGTATGTGTTTGTTTGTTAGTTTAACTTTAATGATGTCCGATACGTAACATAATTATCATAATACTCGCGCGGATGAACCCTCGAAATAATTAATTAATACATGACTCGTACGTACTTCCGACCCCGTGTGTGCGTCGCAGACCGGGGCCGGCGTCGAGGGCGGAGGCGGCGAATCGGCCGCCAGCACCATTGGTTTCTCTCATATCAAGTCTATCATCAACAGACTGAACTACTTAATTAATAATTGATTTCATTACACGTAGCCCTAATTGGTCGTTTTGAAAAGCTTAATACTTTTTTTTTGACACGCTCGGAGAGTTCTTTTCTTACGTTAGTCTGAGACGCGGTTTCGGGAACTTAGATAGGGGAGACGTCAAAACTCCGGAATTGACCTGATGATTTAGTTTGAACCGAATTCAAATGGTCTGTTTCCGAAACGAAATCACCGCGTCCACGCCGAAGTTTTGACTCTTGGATTTTATTTTCTACTTCCTTTTTATTTTTGCTTCCGTTTTGTACAAAATTTAATTAATCTACCGACATAGTTCACTTGGTCGAATTTTCACACCGAAATACACAATTAATATTGCTACGAAGTTCATTTTCAATAATTATTCCCTCCCCGAAATGTGAAACTAGGAAAACGCGAAAGGTTGGGGGAGGAACGCAAGACTGCTGAAAAAGTATTAAAAAAATTCAACTTGCCGTTCAACATGCGGCCGCAACAACGCGACCGATTTGCATAATAACAGTTTGATCAACCGCAGATCCGTTCACAATAATTATATCTACGTATTTAAACTAAGCAATGAATACGTTTTAATAAAAATAATAATTATACAATAACGCAGGAGTACATGTGTGTATGTATTTTAATAAAATTCAACTAGTCGCTCTCGCAATAAATACTGGCATTATTCTTTCATTTTTTTTCTTCTTGTATCTCTCTTTAAATACTTGATGCAAATGTAACGACTAATGATTCGTCTTGCTCTACCGCCTACGGATCAATGATTTTTAATTAACAACTACCTTAACTCTTCAATTCTTTCTTTCTGCCTGCCGAACTAACGCGTTTTGCTTTATGATATAAACACTCAAACTCGGCGAATCTTAAACAAACCGCAGCGAGCGCAAATACTTCTGCTAATAATCTAAATCCTCTCTCTTTTTCAACAATGAATTCGAATTAATGCAAATCGGACACTCAACTATATGGAATTCCTCGGTCTGCCGCACTTTTGCTTCCTTATTATTTAAATTTACAACCACTAAGACCTACAATTGTATAAATATGCGCGCGCGTTCTTCCTTTTTCACTTCTTTCGAGTGCATCTTTTTATTTATTTTTCGGATAATTATTTACCTCGTGTTTTGTTTGTTTGTTTGTCACCATGATACTTTCTCGCATCTCTCTCAGTATAATTAGTACGCTTGCGTTTGTAGATATATTCGCATGTAATAATTATTCTTACAGTAGGTATAATAATTAATGTTACGCGTAAATATATTTATTATTTTTAATTAAATAGTACAATAAACCTGATAGTCTCAATACCGCTGTGTTTAATAGAGCTTCAATCGTATTGTTCCCTTGATTAGCGTTTAAAGGTTCGCTTGCTCACAAACGGGCCCGCCTGCGGCCCCCGGGACGTCCGAGGGCGGCGGGCTGCCGCATTCAAGATATGACAATATAATTAATAAATTAGTCACGTCGCCTCACTCTCTTCTCATGCGTTTGAATTTTTATTATTCCCATTAACAAAAATAAATTCAAATCTCTCTCTCGCCATTTTTTTTTTTAAATTCATGTGTGTCAAAAATTTCTAATGGGTTTGTATCACACGGTTGTGTTGCTGCCGCTGACCGAATGCAAATATATATTATTTATACGAGTGAGTTTTTCGGGTTCAGAGTGAATTTGTTTGTTGCTACCTTTGGCAGTGATCGACGCTCGCTTCTTTTCTTCTTCTTCTTGGTTCTACGCGCGAGAATGTTACTTGTGTATAGTCGACAGAGAGAGCGAGATACAAGAAAGGTCGAATCGAGAGAGTGAGAGAGCCACGGAGATTTTTATCGTTTTAAAACTTGGATAAAAAGAAAACTCATCGAGTGTGTGTGTGTCGATCTCCGAAGAAAAAATGATTGATCATTCGAACGTACAATGTAGTGTGCTGCTTTGCAAACTCGACGAAGGCATGTATTGAGTGATTTTAGACAGACCGGTGGCCAGCGGCCTCCATAATTGACAGGAGTGTATCACGGCCCCGATGGGACCGGCTCGATTAAGAAACACACTGACAGACGGTGGCGCGCTGCGCTTCAGGTTGGGCGCGAGCGACGCAGCCAGCCCGACGCGCAGCCCGCGGGGATAGCAAAAAAGGCACTTGTACCACCGTGCAAGGGGAGCGGAAACCAAGCGACCACACGCGTGGTACAAAAACCAAATCTCGGAAAGGTTCCCTACACCCTGACCGAAAGCTCAAAATTTTGCTCCAGACACAGAAAATTTAAGTTTTGAGGACTGTTGAAAAAGGTTTTTTTAAATTTTTAGGCCAAATTCAAATTGAAACAATTTTTTGCTACATTTGTAATTTTTAACACTTCCCGGTCATGGTTTAAGGGACCTTGGAAACCATATTTTTTTTTTTTACATTATGCAACATGAAGCAGACTGTATCATTAATATTATTTTTATATAAATTTTTACAGTAGTCCCTAAGGTGTTCGCGCCCAGTTGAATAACAAATGACCAGAAAATGATATGAGGCTCACACACGAGTAGTGTTTCTTTTTCTTTTATTTCTTGCGACTTTCTTTCTCTTCGTGTTATCGATTTTATATACGTTTACTTAGCACAACCATCAATGAATCGGGGCTGATTACTATATTAGCAGGAACTGCAGGATTTGGTTTCTCATTTTCCGTTCTTTTGAGCAGCACAAAGTTCACATCTTTGTGTATTTTTTGTATTTGTGTGTCTGTGTACGTTCCTTCTCTCCTAGCAAATTGTTTTTTTTTTTAAACTTGTGCAAGCCGATGCGTAATATATAATAATACATATGCAAGCGTGTTTTTTTTTCATCTGAGGGAGGGTTCGCGATATGTTGATTTACAACACACGGTCAGTCGCTTTAGTGTTTTCATAACCGATTGTTTTATTTTATTTTATTTACTCATCAGAAATTTAGAGAAGTTGTCGTAATATGAACTATTGCACAACTTTTGAGATCAAAATTAAATGGAAACATGACAGGGAAGCATCGGCCTATACAACGGGGAGGGGAGGGGTTGTCGCCCTGCCAATTGTTCCTTTCAGAATAAGGGAAAGCTCGTTAAAAATATCTCAGGCGGTTTAGGCCTCGGCTGGTCAAAATTTCTTTTTCTTCACATTTTATACAGAGAGAGATTGTGTAACGAAAGGGGGGACAGAGAAGAGGGGCGCAAATTCAGAATGGTGGATTCCATCTTGATATGTTGAGTGCAAAACCTACTCTCACTATGACTCTTTCATCTTGGGGCTTAAACCAATTGCGGGCTGATTGTCAAGGTCAGCACTCTCGGGGGTGGGTTGTGCAGTGTTTCGAGTTGTTGCGTGTTCAAAAATTGTGCCTAACAACGAATCCTGGAATGAACATCGAGGAGCACATTGAGTGAACCAATACGCGAGTGTGCGTGTGCGCTTCTTCACTACGATTATGTACGCGGTTTATTTCTTTTTCTCAACTACGAGTGTGTGTGTGTGTGCATATTATTTACGAAAAATCATTTATCATCATCATCATTAAAGAGTGTGTGTCTTTCTTTCTTTCATTCTCTTCTTCAACTTGCATCGCGTCACCACCATTCGATTGTTTGTTCACTGCCCGAGAACAAATGCAAAAATATAATATCTCGTATATCAATATGAAAGGTGCACAGTCAATGTCGCTTGCTTGATTTGTGTGTAAGTGTGTATTTGTTTCAAGTAAGTGGTCGGGTTGTTGTTGCTGTTCCTCGCTCACATCTCATCCTCCTACGCTGTTCCTGCTTTCGGGTTGCTTGATGGATTTGGTATTTGGCGCACAGGGTTAGTTAGTAAACGAGTCCAGTCTTGTGCTGGCCAGATGAGGGTGCGGCTGCTGCTTAAATTGTTGACTTGGAGAAGGAAACACGCAGGTGGTTCGACTCGCTCAACTGGTAGTTGTGCATTTTCTGCAAAATGGAAAAAGTACAACTAAATTTAATGGTTCATTAATTTGGTATTAATTAACTTACGATGAGGGCCATTACAGCATCCTCAATGGACTGCATCTGGATCAGGGCCATCTTGCGGTCTTTCCTGAGGAGGAAAATGATAAACTTTAATTAAATTCTATAGATTATTGTGGTTCGAAACTTACGGGAAGAACTTGAATGCTTTCACAGTAAATCCTGCATTGGTAAACGCGTCCTTGATAGCCTCCTCAGTCATTTGTTGCCTAAACAGGCAAAAAAGAGCAAGGAAAATTAAATTTACGAAACGAATCAAGTTTTTTATGTGGCCTACGGAATGTTGGAGAGGTGGAGAGTGGCCGACGGCGGGTAAATGTTCTGGTAGTTCTTGGAGCCAGGCTTCTTGAAGCGATGCAAGGACGAGTTGGTGTAGTCCTTGGTGAGACCCGCGTCCGGCTGCCCCTCCTTTGGCAACTGCACCGCCTGGTGCTTCGACGGCATCACCCGTATTTGCTTGCCGAACACATTCAGCTTGTCCATGTGAGTCATGGCTGCGAAAAAGAATAATTTTCAGAAGTGACAAGAAAAATTGAAAATTTTTGGTACCTAAGTGTGCCTGGTGGTTCTCAGCCATCTGCACAAGAGCACTATCCTTCTTGTTGAAAAGGATCTTGACCCGAATCACGTCACCGTAGACGCCTGCAATTAATAAAGAGGATAGATTGTCGGCATCTGGGCGCGCGCGGCGAGTTTTGACAGCAATTTTCTCATAGGAAGAAAAGTTGTAACAAAACTTTGTCAAATTCATCAATCAAAATGAATAAAAATAAAAATTCATCGAGCCACTCAGGGGCACAAAAACCAAATGAGAGTTGCATGAAATGTAAGTCTGCACAGAGGAACAGGATAAAAGCAAACTCAAAATATTCAACAGAATTAAAATATTGAAACAAGAGAAATTGGCCTCGTATTAGAAATCAGTGTGCTGGTTGTTACTCCGATTAATTGTTGAAAGAATTTTTCAATCTACTTGGAAATGTTGAAGTAAAAATGATAAAAATAAAAACTAGTGCACAAAAAAATTTTATTCAAGAAGAATTAATACGTAATGATTCTATTCTATTCTAGAAAGAGGCCAAGAACTTTTAGAAAAAAAATGGATGATGAAACGTAACTCATAATTCAAAATGAAGTTGAAATTTATAGATCAAAATAAAAATGAATAAAAAAGCGGCAGCAAAAGAAGCAGGGACGAACAGTGAAAACAATTAGCTGACCGACTGATTGGCTGAGAGAGACAATGAATAAAAAACAGTGCTTGTTGTAAAACGTACCAAACAGGGTAAAGAGAGCGTCAGGGGTGACCATCTACATTACGTGAAGGCCGGAGCAGTGAGATTTTGTTGATCGAGGAGGGCGGAGGCCATCAATCAAACAAACAGAGAAGGAGCAAGAAGAGTAGTTAAGTAGGGCAGCAAGTAGTGTGTGAGGTGATTTTGATTATTGGTCCAGGTAGTAACGAAGTTTGTGTTGAAACAGCAGCAGATGGAAAAAGAGAAAAATCATCCTTGGTATATAATTTTTTTTTTAAAATCTCGTCACAAAATATTTTTGTGAAGAAGGTGGCGGGCGGGCGCCCCCTGAGGGGAGCCCCAGCCCGCCGGCGTGGCCAGCGCTCGCAACATGACTTCCGTACAATGATTGAAAATTAATTTTAATAACTCGGAAGCGGCAAAAGAGCATGTTCCGCAAGCCCAAGCCACGCCTTTGGAGAAATTCTTACATTAAGCTTTGTAAAATTTTAATTTAACAAATAATAAAAAATGAGAGTGAAAACGCAAGAGGCAGACTCTGGCGTTTTCACTTTCAACCCACTCCGTAAACAAGCCGTCGTGTTAAGCAATTTTCTCTAACAAATGAAAAGGGTCGCCAAAATAGGTTGAGTAGTCCGAAAAATTTAATAATGGTAATAATGAAGCTTTGAAAATAGGTGTGTGCGGTCGATTTGAAAGAGAGTGCTAAGCAAACTCAACTTGCAGTCATTCGAAATTAGCAGAAGTTGGTTAGCAGAAAATTGGAAGAGGTAATTTAACTTTTGCACTTGAAACAATTGTGAAGATTCTGATCCGAAATTGAGTGCAAATTCTCGGTTCTCCATTATTCTGGGCCTAATTTATCAACCTATTGCAGTTTCCCTTTCTTGTTTTTTAATCAAGTTCAAAACTCACAAAAAGATAGAAACCTAAAAAAAGAATGATACGATAAAAATCGAAAACAAACAAGAGACACAGGCTAAATCTGGTATATTAAAAAAAAAATCCACTTGCACAAAGAGAGAGATTCGTTTGGGGAAAAATTAATCCAAAACTGGCAAAAGCACAGAAGTAACAAAATTTTTGTCTCTTCCATTCCATCAAATCAATAAATAACGGTTTCCAAAAATTTCAAGACTTTCTCTCGCCCAGATTGCCAATCGCGACGGACTGGAATTAAGTAAGCTAAGTGAACTGAAGGCGATCGAATGTTACCTCCTCGTTGAGATTGCTGATGAGCAGCACGGAGCCGGTGGTTTGCACGCCGGGCAACCGGAGGCCCGCACCAGCGCCCAGGGCGTTGTTGGCGCCGCCGCCGGCCAGCGAGAAGCCCGCCAATGGCATTGCAGCCGCCACTGAAAAATAATCAATTTGGGAAGAGAAAGGTTAAATTCAGGTGATGCTCTGCGAACACAAGGTCGGGGTGTTAGGAATCGATCAAAATCCCCCTGCCTGCTTCACCCGCATTCATGCAGCAGATTTAGTCGAAATTCGGCAGGAGGAGAAGACGGGGGCGAAAGAGTTAATTGAGTGGTAGTACCTCCGACCGATGAACCGTAGGGCGATGTGATCTGCGCACTCAGGCCGTGCATTGCAGCAAAGGGCGATGCCAGAACTCCTGTCGCCCCTGTGTTGTGACAGGCTAGGTTAATTTACTTGGACTAACAAACGCACTCCGAATTAAAGGCACTTTTTATTTTGCTTGGGTGGATGTGTGGGTGGAATGGGGTGGGTGGGGGTGGGTTATTGCCAATTTCCGACGAGAGCGGACGGTTGCCTTTTTAATTTCGAGCTGGCGGCAAATTGCAAGTTGGAAAAGGAATATAAAAAAACTGGTAGAGACTGCAAGTTCCAATCAAGCACTTGTTAATGAGAAAACTTACTCAGAAATGTATTGACAAATCGATATTTATTTATTACAGCTTGTTGATTGAGATTTGGCCTTAAATTTTTAATAGTAGAATTGAAAAAATATTAAAAATGGTAACACTTGAGGTGGATGTTATGAAAAATTGAAGCCGGGCGAACCTCGATGCAAAGAAAAAAATAAACTGAAGAAAAAAAACGGACCCCAAGAGGCGATTTGAAGTACTTAAAAAATCTAGGGTTTTCTTGTGTCCGAATTATAACTAAGTGGGAGGAACTCATAAAAAATATATTGGGACAGAATTCAATTTTATTCAACAGATTTGCAGAAAAAAAGTAAATTCTCCCCACATTACTTTTAATTTTCTAAGAATTCCTCCCACTTAGTTTTAGTTCGGACACAACAAAACCTTAGGTTTTCAAAGTACTAGCCTTTATTTATTCATTTTTTTTTTAATTTTTTACTTTGCAGTGAGGTTCGCCCGGTTTCTATTTTTCAATTTAAAAAAAAAATATAATAAATTTTGTTGTCACGCTATCTATTGGTATTATTTTGCCAACTTGATAACGGTGATATGAAAGCGATTAATTTGAATGAGGCCATTTGTGAGAAAGATATTATTTAGAAAAAAATTACTGTAAGAAAAAGTTTCAATTCAGTTCTACCAATAAATTTGAAATTCTTTTGGGAATTTTTATTAAAAAACCAATGCTAATGCAGAGAAAAATTATAATAATAACAATTATTTTTGCAATGAACTGGAACATCTAAAATTTAATTGACAATTCTAAAGCATTCAAAATTCAATAGGCAACCACAGTTTTTTTTTTTTTTTTAAAATAATCCAAGAATGGTTAAAATTCGATTTAAAATTTTAGTACGTTATCTACCTGTTAGGATTGTGAGTGAAAAAGTAAAAAAAAAAAAAAATGAAATCAAAGTGTGCAAATTTGCAGCGAAAACGCGATCATGGGTGAGAGGGCGGCAAAAAGCAGCTCGCGTCATTTCTGGTTTTTGCACGAACGAGTTAATCGAGTGAGGGGTTGTTTGGCGGCAGCGGGAGGGTGCGTGCGTGCGGTCAAAAGACAAAGAGGAACCTGTGAGGGCGAGGGCCGAGTCGAGCGAGGGGTCGCCGGTAGGCAGGTTGGGGTTGGTGTAGTCTCTGCTCTTGTCATTGTTGTACTTGACGTTGAGGCTGTTGAGTTTCGAGTACTCGATGCGCAGGGTGCAGCACGCGTTGTAGATGTTCTGCCCGTCCAGAGACTGCAAGCAAACCACAAAAGACCATCGTCATCATCAGGCGCCCTTTGTTCGTCCAGGGCCCTTCACAATCGATCCTTTCTCTCTCCCTCGCGCCCGATTCGTTTCGTAGCGTCAGAATGAGAAAAGCGGAGCAGAAAAATCCACTTTCGCTTCGTAAATCTTAATTAGCGCGCGAATGGTGCAGCCGCGGGCGGAAACTCAAAAATTCGCAGCAGTCGTTATTAATTATCATTAGCCGGCGGCGATGCCAGCCAGCCAGCGAACGAGCAGCGCCGCCGCCGCCGCAGAGTTTGCGCTTGGCAATTAGTGATCGGCGCCACCTGTTGAGTCTCGCATAATTTTTGCATTATTTTATTTTTTCGGCAGCGAAAATTCAGACGGAGAAAGAGAAACTGCGATTGCAAGAAGTGGCAAATGAACGCAAACGAAACTCACCAGTTTGGCCGCCTGGGCGGTCACCACGTCCGGGTACTGGATCAGTGCTTGGAACGTGTCTGCGGAAAAGAAAGTGAAATTTTACAATCAGAAACAAAATGATTAATAAATTATCAACTTAAAACAATATTTTGTTAGATTTCAATATTAAAAAGTAAAAAAACAGGAATAATCAAAAGTGCACAATTCTGAATCTATTTTTAATAATATGAATATGTAAGCTTGAATTCATTTAAATTCTAAATTTAATCATTAAATTTAAAGACAGCGGTTTTGTTTTTGGTGGATTGAATTTAAATTCGGCTTTTCCTCGATGGGTTTTTGTGAGTTTTTATTGTTTAGGAAAAACAATATCCTGCTCTACATGTTTCGGCTGCGGGCTGCAGCCATAATTCATGAGCTTTCTCGGCGGTGGTCGAGAGAAGACAGGATATTGTTTTTCTTAAACAATAAAAACTCACAAAAACCCATCGAGGAAAAGCCGAATTTAAATTCAATCCACCATGAATCAACCCTCAATCGTGAACTTCTACTACAAAAAAAAAAAAAGTTTTGTTTTTGTTTTGAAAACCATCATGTTTTAAACTTCAACTTTTTTCTTCGATTGGTTTTTGAGTTATTTATTGTCTACGAAAAGACAATATCGTGCTCTACATGTTTCGGCTGCAGCCATAATTCATGAACTGTGGAATCATTTTAATAAGAATTAGTACAAAAATCAATCTTTTAACAATATCTTCTCTTCGATTAACAACTTTTTAAAAAATTTTTCTCAGCTACAATTTATTCACCAAGTAATTCTTCAAAAATTTGACAATAATTTTTCAAATTTAATTAATTAATTAAAATAATACTTGGTAGAAAAATTGGAACTGAGTATAATTTTTATGAAAAAAACCTTGATTAATTGATGTAAACACTTTTATACAAATAATATAATATATTAACATTATGTAAACTAACTTTTGTCAAAAAAATTTCACAGCTCATGAATTATGGCTGCAGCCCTCAGCCGAAACATGTAGAGTAGGAATTTTTTTTTCTTAAACTAAAAAAACCCATCGAGAAAAAGCTGACTTTAAATTCAAATCAACATGACATAACAAAGTTTTATAGAATTTTTCAGAGCTTCATTTTATTTAAATAAATTTTCAACGATCTTATAGCAATTTAATATTTAAAACGAAACTTCAATACAAGGAAAATCAACATCAAATAAGTGCTATTGTGGTGCATATTTTATTATTAAACAGAAGTTTGATCCGCCTTTCTTCACGCTTGACTTACTGTTTTTGGTGAAAGTGACGATTTTCAGGACTTTTCCGTAGCGGGAGAAAATCTGCAACAGAAAAATGACACTGCATGTAAGTCCTCAAGGGAAAATTGAGTCAACGAAGCGGAAGATGCTCAATGGCGAAGAAACCACTTTTGCCGCGCGCGCTCGCGGCCGCAGAAGCCGCTGTAGAATAAAGTCAGAAGGGAAAGAAGAAAAAAGGGACTCGGGGCGGACGGATACAAAAATAAAAGAGTGAAATCGAGTCTCTTTTTGAAACATATCGGCCGTCAATAAATAACGAAAGACGCTTCTTTTTTGCTGTCGATATTTTCCGCAGCGACAATTACAATTTTGCGTCGGCACGGAAAGGCGCGGCGGCGATAATTGCACGGTCGGCGATTTCAGGCACGCACAATTCACTCATCATCTTAATGGGGCGGCGATTATCCGCCCCCTGCAGCCGTGGGGTGGATCCGGCGAGGCACCTGCCCGGACGGTCGCAGCCAAATTACGCCACTTTTGCTTTATCGGCCGGCCGGAAATTAACAAACTGCAGCGCCGAAATCCGCTCTCGCGGGCCTCGTTAGTTGCCGCCCCGACGCCCTCCCGAGAAAGAAAGACTTTCGAATTAACCCCGAAATTCAATATCGCGGAGTTAAACATTCACGAGGCCATTTGCGAATGAATCCGGAATACAACGTTTCGGCAACTCCCTCAGGGCGGACCCTGGGAAATTAAAAACCGGAATTCCCTGCAGCGCGGTGGAAACTTTCGAATCCCAGAACGACACGCAGCAAAACACTTCCTTTCGCTTAATTAGCAGCGGTGGAAATTTTCAAACAGGTTGTTGTCGGTTCATGAATAATTCAGCAATATTACGGCCGAAATTTTGCATCCGATTTGTTAAAAAGAACAGGGATCCGCCGGGCAAAATATTATTTTAATTAAATAAATTCAAACAAAGCAAACAGATTTGATTGAAAATCCAGTTGTGTATCAAAAAACCACGCTTGGAGTAATTAATTAATTTATTGAACTTATATTTGGGGGTGGGGGGGGTCATGGATTTTTGACCCTACTTACGGAAAGAAAAATAAACTATGAAATTGAATCCGAGTTATTCTTTTCTTTTTTATACTCCGATGTAAAGTAAATAAGTAAATTAATTAAATAAAAACTCCAATTTTCAGCCAAAAGTGAAGTTAAATTGCATTAAAATTATTGACTTGTAAAAATTTTGTATGTGTAAATTAAGGTTCTAGTTTCACCTTGTGAATCCGAATCAAGCAAATTAATCTGAATCTCCGAGTGATATTCCAAAGGAAACAACCCATATCTCTTGACGATGTGTATGTCACTCGAGCACTTTTCGAGCGTCCCTTCGGCCCAGGCGGTCGTTCGGTCGGTGGGAAGGCGGAGTGGCCGGGCCAGAGCTTGCCGTGCCGCAGGCGGCAATATTATGATATCACTTGATTCATCTCTGCGGCGTGAGCGCCTGACTGAGCTTGAATATGCAACCAGTTGAGCACACTTGTCAGACAAAAAGCCTAACTGCGACCAACTTTTGATCGCGCGCCGGCCACAATGCGCCCTGATTTATCTCGATCGCGTTGATGCACCTGGCCTGGCTGCGACGAACCATCGATCTATCTTTTTTCATTAGAGACGGGGCGAGTCTTTCGGGAGGCGCGCGCGATTGCCTATCGATTCGCGAAATAAAGTTGTGCCTCCGAGATGGGTGATTTATCCTCATTTGCGGCTGACAAAGAGGGAAAGAGAGGAGGAAAGAAAATATATACCAACTAAGCTCCGGCGCGGTTTAAACGAGTGAGCGGAAAATTGGAGGCAGAAATTTGTTTACGAATCGGCCATTTTTTGCGCGCAGGGGATTTAATTTGCCAAAATTTCTTTACTTTCAAGCGAAATTAAATTCGCTGGCTTTTTATTAAGCGTGCCCAGCGAGCCGCACCGGAGACGTCAGCTGACGGGAAATGCCTGCGAAAAACTGAATTTTCCGTTCGCCAAATTGCTGTTTTTTGGTCGCTTTGAATAATTTAGCGTGTGAGGGAAAAATGGGACGGGATTAATAAATTTTGGCCGAAATTTGGATGTTTGCATTGCTAAAAACAAAAAACAGGAAAATCTCTGCCATAAATCAAGGCTTTATAACTAAATAGCAAAAGCACACAAGTATTCCTCAAATGAGCATTAATATTAAGTTTTAAATTCTCTTTTCATCAAATTTAAAAAGAATTTCACATTTTTTTTTTTATAATGAGAATAAATTTTCATGCGAAATGTGATACATGCAGAGTCTGTTTTTACTTTTAACGTGAAAATCTGTCCCTCTGAAAGTCTCATTTGGGTAATGGTCGATTTCACGATTCGGAGGACGAAAAGCATCCCCTCTCGTCAATATTAATAACGTTCATTAAGCGCAAGTACTGATGTTGCCGCCGCGGCCTGCCTGCCAAACTATAATCTGCGATTATTATTGCAAATTTAATGAGTATCATGACGAGGGTGGCCGAGCGGGCGGGCGGAGGGAGGGGGTGGGGGCGAAATGCGTGCGGTCGAGCAGATTAGTCCAATTTGACGAACGTCGGATGCAAATTCGCGGCTTTTGTTGTTTGCCAGGTTTAAAGTGTTTCGATTTTTCGAGGTACACGGGCGCTGTTTGTTGTCGTTCGCGTCGCTTTGAAGTCGTCCGAGACTATTTAATTAGCCGATCCGTCCAATCTGGCCACAACAAGGGCTGCGCGCTCGCAAATAAATCCCTCCATGGGACGCAAGGCTCGACCCCAACGCCGAGGCAAACAGAGAAGAGGAGCGCCCTGGCTAGGTTGCGCCAAAATAATTACCACTCGGGGAAAGTTTTGCGGTTCATCTCGGTGAGCAGCCGATAATCTGCTTTAGGGATCAAGAAGCAAATGCTCAAAGGGAAACGATGATGAATCGACTTGCACCTTTGCCTTTATCATCAACACAATAATTTACGTACCTGGTAAAGGACCTCGAGGGTGACAGGGTAGACCATGTGCTCGATAATGACCCTGAGAACCGTGTTGGGTCCACCCTGAGTTTCATTTGTAGCACCTGCGGCCAGAGCTTGGGCAGCTTGCAACGCTGCTTGCGCTGAGGCGTTCTGAAAGCAAAATTCAAATTTTCTGTAAAACAAAATAAATAAATAAAAATATCAAAAGCTTGTTTTCTTTTTTGTTTATTGAAAGAGACCATTTTTTTTTTAATTCCAACACGCAATTGCTTGAAATACTTTGACGAGAGTCGTGGCGTGCCACGAATGCATCAATATGAAACGAGAATGTCCCAATTGGATCCTCTTGTTATGCCGCCCAGTCTAAACAAATATTTTGATCGCACATTTGAATTTTCTTTTCCCAGACTGTGTAATGCTTTACCACCAAATTTAAAAAATCTTGATTCAAAAAATTCTGTTAAATTTCATATTAAAAAATGGTTTTTGTCGCTTTTAGTTGACATTTTAATCTTTGTAAAAATTCGCATGTAAAACAATGTGTATAGAACTGGATTGCTTGGCTTTTAAGTCTTGCTTTCTATTCGCATAAGCACCGGCCGATAACTCCGTTGGGAGTTGGCTGGACTTGTAACTTTCAAATAGGTTTCTCGGTTTAAAATTGCATGTAAAGAATATCTGACTGTTGTTTAAAATTTCCCCTTTTCGGCTCCAGCTCGGCAAGTAGATTTAATTTGGAAACACTTTTGCTTTCAAATTGAGTTTATGAGTTTTAGTAAGTTGTTTACTAGGGCTGGCTGCCAATTCTCTCTTCAATGTAATTTTTCCCCCAAATAATATTGACTTGTTGTGAGAGAATAAACGAATTGAATTGAAAAATAAATATACTTCATTTAAAAAAAAAATAAATAAATAAACGGGGAATATTCATAAGAAGTCTCGCAAGCAGATCAAAGAAAAATAATTATCTCGGAGGACTCTTTGAGCAATTTAGATTTACAAGAAAAATTCCGCCGTTTAGCCCTCGAACTAAAAAGTGCTCTCTAGTGGTCCTTTGAAAGCGCCCCTCCCTCCCTCCCTTTCACGTACGTAAAGCAAGAAGTTGCTTTCAACGACGGCGGTCCGATCGTTCAATATTTCATTAGTTCTGAATGGTCAACCAGTTTACTTTTCAAGTCCGGACATTAACCAGGGGCGCTTGATTGCAAATGATAATTATTCTTACCGCGTTTGAGTGGGTTTGGTCGGTTTTGAGTTCTTTGTGCGTGGAGAACTGGACGTAGACGGCGCGGCCCCGCAGCTGGGCCACGCACGTGGTGAAGTAGGTGACCATCTGGGCAGCGGCCACCTCGTCGGCCATTTCGAGGAACGCCTGCGAACACAGAACAAACTTTGGTGATGGATCGGCGTCCCCGGGGGCTGCGCCAACCCCCATTATGTGTGACGAGTATTCTTAAAAGCCTTTGTTTGACGTTGTTTTGATACGGCCCGAATTTGCATAGCGAGCCGGGTGAGCGAGAAACGAGGGGTTCTGCTGTGTGTGTGTGAGCAAATTAATGCAACAATGGCAGCGCCGAGTGTCCGGCGGCTCAACCGGCCTCATTCACACAGTGCGTTCTTTGTGGTTTCGACGCGAGGGGAGGAAGGAGCATTTTTCAAGAGCTGCGCAAAATTTGAGCCGTGAAAAGCGAGAAATTCCGGGGAACAATGCGCGGCGCCAAAATTGCCACTTGCCGCCAAACAGGGATTTAAATACGATTTTTTTGTACTTCAACGTCAAACAAAGTTGGGGGGAATTTTCCGACGCCTTTATTCTTGAGAAACTTTCAAAACTTAAACGTTATAAAAGCGTAAAAGACTGAAAATTATGAAAAAAAAATCAATTAAAAGCTCTGAACCTTTTTTCATTTTCAAAAGTTGTTTTTATTAATTTATTTTGAAAATTTAATTAGATTAGATTAGATCAATATTTATTGCATTAGACATGAATATAATACCTGATTTTTGCCCTTGAGCACAAGCACGTTGGTAACCCTTCCAAAAGGGATGCCGAGGTGAATGATTTCTGCCTCGGTGACCTCATTGGGAATGTTTCTGATGTGGATCACCTTCGAAGGCTTCTGGTTCTTCGTGTCCAGCTTAACCTGCGGGAGAAATGGAACAAAAATTTGATTAAAATGGAATCTAATGAATTAATATAACTCTTAATTACAAAATTACTTTAAATTGGGAGGTAATTCATATATCATATTTGAAAATTCATTTCCAAGAAATTAAGATTCATTGTGGAGCATTAATTTCATTTGAGTAAAGTTTGTTAAATTTCTTTAGATTGAACTCAAGTGACATTAGTAAGAAGAAAAAAAACGGGACGAAATATTTTAATTTTAAATGCAAACTGAAGGGCTTCTTTAAGGAATTTGATATAATCTCAAATTTATCACAAGGTTCGATCATTAAATTTGGAAGAAATTAATTAAATCTATTTGAAATGCAATAAATGCTACAGTAATAAAGAATATATGGAGTTTTAATTCCTTCCATTTTGTTAAGAGGAAAAAAATTTCTGGAGTCAAGTGTCTTGATTTTTAGCAATTGAGGGGAGCGAGCAATAAGCAAGTTTGTCCCGCCAAGCAGGCAAGATCAAACAGAGGGTGTAATTTAGCACTTTGTAATGGTAGCGTGGGAGGGAAATGAGGTTTGCTCAACTAATTGGCGGACAAGGCTTTCGAATCGCACGAACACACAGTTGTGCGGCATGTCAGGGGCGGTCGATTGATTATTTAATTGCGACTCACCTTCTTGGCGTCATTGTTGTTGTCGGCGTGGCTCGGCTGGGGGCTCATGACGGCACCATTGCTCACGCCCCCGCTCTGAGACAGCAACTCGTCTGATCCTCTCTGCAAACACACGAGTCAGTTGAGATATAAAATTCGTTCGATCCATTAAGGGGGTAATTTGCGAGGGAATCCGTGCGCGCCTAAAGAGTTGAAATTTTAATCGCCGCGAGCTGCGTCCTACACCAGCAAGGAGCACTGTGCATTTTTAATGGGACGACTCGAGTGCACTCAGCAAACGCCAAACTGTTGAATTGATAATCAACAGAGTGCCTGCTTGAATTATGCAGCCCGTCCGGCGCGCGCGAGCACGTGTGTGTGTGTTTCGCCTCCCAAGTAATTTCATCAATGGCAGTCGCGGGACGCCCCACCGCGACAAATAAAATCTGCCGCCGGTTTAAAAGCATAAAAAAACTTTTAAATGGATTAAAGAAAAATTCATAGTTTCATTATCAACTTTTTTGTTTCTCAAAAATTCGTCAAAAGTGACGGCAAAAGTTCCAACAGTTTAATTTTCTTAAACTTTAGAACTTAAAAGAAAAAACCAAAAGGATGAGTTAGAAAGAAGATTGATGAGACTTGTTAACGTCTCTTTTAATTAAAATTAAAAAGTTTAAGGATTCCTTGCCTAAAATTTGAAACTAAATTTTTACAGTGTCTGAAAAGATTCCACAGAGTAAATGTTGCCAAAATCCACAAACTAAAATTATGTCAACGCTCAAGTTATATCTTTGAGTGATTTTTCACATCAGTTCTTGATCATTGTCTGTAAATATGTAGTGAAGAAGTACAAATAATGTTCTTTAGTTTCTTCTTTTAATATAAAAAGATATACTTCAATCATTTCACAATGAGTTTTGTTCTTATTTCATTTGTCTTTAATTTTTTAAAGATCAAATTAATTGAATAAAATAAAACGAATCACTAAAATAAACAAGGAGCTTGATTCAACAAATTATAAATTTCTTACAAAAATTGAATTAATTAAATAAGGCTCAATGCGGCGGATGGGGTCTTTTTGATCTCGGAAGTTTTAGCAAAATTCTTGCTGGTGGTGGTGCCTTCTTGTCCAACAATTCCTTTTTTTTTCAAATAAATGTTGTCAACAATTGTATGTATACAATTTGATGCAATAATTTGGACAACCAAACAACAACAATACTAATAATACATTTCTTTTCGTCTTTATTTATTTCTTAGATTCAATCTTCAAAGCTCTACCAACTGTTGCTGCAATTAAAAATTTATTCATCGTTTCCTTTATTTTAATTGGGCGGTTTGTCGTTGGCAAGAACTTTGGCGGCTTAATTACACAAAGCATGGTGACACGGCCAACAGAGAGACAGCATGCTCGTCGTAACGACATAATCATGTTGTCTGTCAATAATTAGGTGCAACACACCACCGCGCCACAGACTAATATTATGCATTAGTAAACAGGCCAGGACGGACGGACGAAGTTTGACTCCTCGTAAATCACAAACACGCATCATTTGTGTGATTAGTCGATAAGCAAAAATCGCGCCCTTGCGGTGAATGTTGCAATGTTGATTTATTTATCTTGCGGGGGCGGATGGGGTTAATTATGCAGAGAACCCTCGACCTAATTGGACCGCGCACTCGATTAAGCTGTCAAAGACAAACAGGCAAACAACAACTACAATATAGTCGCTCAAAGCGCGCGCAATTCGCTGATAAATTTGACAACAAAGCCGGCCTAATCTGCAAAGAGAGCAAGCGGCAGCCAGGAAGGGCCAAAACGTGCTGCAAAATAAATACACTGCCCGCCGGGTCCAATTTGAATTTGCTGCTGCTGGTTAGTCCGTCGCTGCGGCCAAGGAATTAGTCCGGATGGAAATTGAAATAAAATGACGGGAAAAAAAAACGAGTCCGTCCGTCCGTCTGTCAAGCAAACAGCACCGGCACGAATTAACTTGACGCGAGATCAGTTCGACCCGGAGGCCGACTGTTGGCAAATTCAATTTGTTGCAACAGGCATGACTGCTCGCTCGTCCGCAATATGCCCACGAAGCAACAAACAACAAAAGGAAGTAATTGGAAGGGGTGTCTGAGAAGGTGCGTTGCGAGCGGAAACGCCAAACTTAATTGAAAGAATTAAGTGCAAAAAATTCCAAGCCTGATCAAAAATCAATTTTGATTTGAACAATATCGAGTTTGTTTTGTAGGAAAATGACATCGAGGTATGATGTTTTTAAAATCGGCACTTCCTCGGAGGGATTTGTGAATCGTTTAATGTTACGTAGATAAAAAAAAACAATATCCTGCTTTATTTTTTATTAAAAAAAATAGTAATAATAAAAAAAAAAACCAAAACTAGAAATAGGTTGCGGGCTTCGTGGCACGCAACCTGCGCGGCTGCACTCCCCGAGTAAAAAGAATCGCATACCTCTCTCTCTCTCTCTCTCGTAAAGCGAGGAATGACCTACGGACTCCCTGCATGGCACCCGACGATGCAGGTTAACTTCAAAAAGCTTGATAGAGTGCAGAAACGGGCGCTGCACTTTATTCACGGCCACACCCTTCCGCCGGCAAACGAGCAGAGAGTTATGCCCCTTGACGCACCTCAGGTACACCGACCTTCTCTTTTTCAAAAAGTGCCTGAGCGGCGAGACTGATTTTGACGCGCGCGCCCGAATCATTGAGGGCCGAGTGCTGCGAGGCGACAATAGTCGGCATCCCCGCCTCCAGCCACCCCTGGTGCGAAGTGTGTTCGGCCAGCGCGCTTTTTCCTTCAGGGTCGTCAAGCCCTGGAATGACCTGCCACCGACCCTCAAAGACTGCCCAACCAGCAATTTTCCCTCCCTTTGCAAGCAGCATTTGTGGCAGCAATTTTAAAGTGTCGTGATTGTTCTTTTTTTACGATAGTGTGGGTTCACGCGGTGGCCGATCTCTTTTTGATGTCGGGCGTTTTAGCAGACCTCTCTGCTAGTGTCGATACCCTTTCTGCTCATTTTTTCCAATTCAATTTTTTTTTCATGTATGACTTGCGTAGAATAAACAACAATAATAATACGAGTTAAGAGCCAATTTTGAATTAAAGACACAAGAAAATTAGGTTTTTTATTTTTAATTTTGAAATGGATTGTATTTTTATAAATCATGTTTCAATTATATTTTATTTATTTATTTATTCTCCATTCATGGTACATACAACGCAAAAAAAAGTACACTGTACAAAAAAAAAGCGGAATCATGCATCGACATAAAAAAGTACAAGCAAACAAAAAAATGCCGAAAATACAGGAGTCGGAAATGAATGTACAATGCTACAATTTTATTAAATAATTATCTTCTGTTATTACATTAATAAAATTTCTTTCATAAAAAATAGATTTGTTTGAAGAAATTGACACTCATTTACAATTTTCTGATTCTTATGTATTTTTCTTGCTCATATGAAATAGGAACGCAGATCGTAACCAAAACTGGCAGAGCCATTTTATTTTTTGTTTTATTATTATTGTTGTTTATTCCTGTCCGACAAATATTACATACATGTTATATGCACAGATCACAAAGAAAAATTGAGAATAAAAAAAATTTGCTTCGAGGAAACAGCCCGATTTCTTCACTACCAATAAAATAATTGCTGAGAATTTCAACGAAATAGGATTTATATTATATTTCTATTATTGAACAATTTGGAATAAATTGTGTCAATAAATTTGAATATTCTGAAAAAACTAGAGTCATATAAATTGTTTTTACGACAAGAGAAAAGATTCCTAGGATAAAAATAATGACCTGAAACGCACCCTAACTTTAAAGAACCCAAACAAACAGTTGCCTTTTTTATGAAGAATTTTAGCATTCCAAGCTCAGAACGACAAACAATATTCTTGGTGTTTGTTATTGCTGCCTAAAGTTGGGGATTTGACATCAAATGCAACCCTGTAAAAACCACCATTTTTTTAACTACCTTTGAGAATGTGAAATAATGTTTTCTTTTTACGTAAAAAAAAAAAACTATCACAATGCCATGTTGCTTTTGTCGGTGCACGTTTTATTTCTCTGTTGTGTTCTTGAACCAACAGCCTCGTTCACCATGCAAAACTCTGCTGCAAAAAGAGCAGTTGAATTTTTAATAGCAACCCTTTCACTTTTTAGCTCCTCTCCACTTCCGAACGGACCTTTTTAATCTTCCATTTGGGCCGTTTTTCCAAGCGTGAGCGTTTGTATCTTCAAATCCGCGGATTAACGCGTCCGCTCGCATTCGCGTCGGCGGCGACGTTGAGGTCGAAAATTAAGCCCGACAATTTGCGCTGCTGCGGCGCTCACTCTCGCTAGCTCGCTCTCTCTTGTGCTGCCGTTGTCGAATAATTTACAATTAGCGGCGCGAGCATGAATAATAAACGAGTGGCCGTTGGTGGCGCACAATGGAGCGCAACAATGCTGTTGCTCTTTTCACCGGAGACGAGACAAAAGCCAGATGAAAATCAAGCTTTTGTTGTCGCCACAGGTAATCAAGCTACAATTCATTAACTCGGTCTCTCGCAGCAGTTTGTATAATTATTTTATTTCGCCGCAACTCCAATGTTTGTTTTAGCACATTGTGTTGCTTTTTGTGAGCTGAAATTTGCCGCGGTCGCTTTTTGCAGTGTGCCCGCGCGTACGGCCCGATCAAACAGGCCTGGCTTATTAGTGTGAAAACTGGGCAAAACCACGCGCTGAAAACGCCTATTGATCTCCGAACCTCACCAATTTTCCGCCGAATCATCCAAAATTGTGGCCCTGTGATTTTAGAACACTGATATTTGCAATTTTTTTCAACTACATTTAAATGTTTTTTTTTTTATTAAAATAGCAAATTTGTATTGCCATTAATAATTATATCATTAGTCTTAGTTTTAGTTGATTTTACGGAAATTAAGTTGCCTTTTTTAGATTATTTTTGCCAAAATAATCGGTTTTATTTGATTTAATTAATTGGGATTTCTGCCATAAAATGAAACTTCATTTCCATTGAAAGGTGTCGTTTGCAAATTATATCGAATTAATTAATCGGCGTCAATTAACTGTCCACAGGGGAAACTTCCGGTACT